GTAACTCTGATAAAATTTATTTGTTAAAATTTGTTCTGGTTTGTAATTTATAGCTCAGAAATATCCATAACTCGGAAAAATTGGTTTTTCCTACTCGTAAATCAGAAAAATGTATTTTTTCGTCCTTTAAACTCATAAAATTATTTTTTTTTACAATTTTCAATTGTAACTTAAAAACAAAAAGGAGAAAACAAAATACCAATGTTTCCTTCCGTCTTGTTTCTAACTTATAGATCAGAGAATTTATACTAATTTTTTTTTATTTTTTTCCTTATAGTAATTCAGAAAAATTGATATTTCTGGCTAACTCAAAAAAAAACGTATTTCCGGGTAAATTGTAAATTCCAACTAATAGATTTTTTCCACTATTACCTCAAATGATTTTTTCCATTTCTGGCCTGTATTTTAGAAAAAATTATTTATTTCTTGCTAGTAATTCAGAACAAACGATATTTCAGAATTATAGCTCAGAAAAATCTATTTTCCTAATAACTCAGAAAAAATAAATATTTCTCACTTGTAGACCTGAAAAATGTATTTTTTTTTTAACTCATGAAACTTATTTTTACAATTGTCAATTACAACTCAATAAGGTACTTCCGATTAATTATTAAAACTCTAAAACACTCATTTTTCCGACTTGTGACTCAGAAAAATTGTTTCCTACTCATAGATCAGAGAAATCGATTTCTTGAGCTAGTAACTCACAATTTTTTTTTTCCTTGTAGTAATTCAGAAAATTTGATATTCCCTCCCGGCTTGTAACTCAATGTTTTTCCGAGAAAATTGTAAATTCCGTTTAATAACTTGGGAAAATTGATTTTTTCCAGTATTAACTTGATTATTTTCTCCAAATCTATCCTGTATTTCAGAAAAATTGATTTAGTTCTGGCTAGTAACTCAGAAAAAATGATATTTCCGTAAAATGTACTTTTCCTAATAATTCAGAAAATAGATATTTCTGACCTTTAACTCCAATAAAATAAATTTGTTCTGGCTTGTAACTTATAGCTCATAAACTCGGAAATATTGGTTTTTCCTACTCGTAAATCAGAAAAATGTATTTTTTCATCCTTTAACTTATAACATTTATTTTTTTACAATTGTCAATTGTACCTCGAAAAGGTACTTCCGATTAATTACCAAAAAAAAAAAGAAGAAAAAAATACTGATGTTTCCTTTCGTCTTGTTTCTAACTCATAGGTCAGAAAAATCGATTTTTTGAGCTAGTAACTCAAAAATTTTATTTTTCCTTATAGTAATTCAAAAAAAAAAAATTATATTTCTGGCTTGTAACTTAAAAAAAAAAAACTTATTTTCGGGTAAATTGTAAATTCCAATATCTTGGGAAAATCGATTGTTTTCACTATTTACTCAGGTCAGAAAAATCGATTTTTTGAGCTAGTAACTCAAAAATAAAAAAAAATGATATTTCTGGCTTGTAACTCAAAAAAAAAACGTATTTTCAGGTAATTGTAAATTCCAATAGTTTGGGAAAATCGATAGTTTTCCCTATTTACTCAATTGATATTTTCCATTTCTGACCTGTATTTTAGAAAACATCTATTTCTGGCTCGTAACTCAGAAAAAATTATATTTTCGAGTTATAGGTCACAAAAATCTACTTTCCCTAATAATAACTAATAATAATCCAGAAAACAATAGATATTTCTGACCTGTAACTCGGATAAAATTAATTTGTTAAAATTTGTTCTGGCTAGTAACTTGTAGTTCAGAAAAATTCATAACTTGGAATTTTTTCATTTAATTTAATTATTTAAAATTAATTCTGATGCCTTGGTAGGATTCCCCACTCGACCATTCACTGTTGGGTTCTAATTAACAGTGCTGTTCCTAAAGTGGCGCTGGGAAACAATAACAAAGCCTACACAGAACACGAGGCGAAATAACCTTAGCAGTTGAAGCTGATGACACAAAAAAAAATTGGAAAAATTGGTTTTTCCTGCTTGTAACTCATAAAATTATTTTTTTTTTACAATTGTCAATTGTAACCCAAAAAGTTACGTCTGATTAATTACTAAAAAACAAAACACTAATGTTTTCGGCTTCTGAATCATAGATCAGAAAAAATTTATTTTTCCTTGTAGTTATTCAGAAAAATTGATATTTCCGGTTTGTAACTCAACATTTAAAAAAAAAACTCACGGTAAATTGTAAATTCCAAATATAGTTTGGGAAAATCGATTTTTTTCACTATTACCTCAATGATTCTTTCCATTTCTGACCTATTTCATAAACATTTATTTATTTCTGACTAGTAACTCAGAAAAAAATGATATTTTCTACTTATAGCTCAGAAAAATCTACTTTTCCTAATAATTACTCAGAAAAGGATTTTTCCGATTTGTAACTTAAATAAAATAAATTTGTTCTGGCTTGTAACTAAATTGATGGTTGTGACTTATAGCTCAGAAAAGTACATAACTCCATAACTAGGTAAAATTGGTTTTTACTATTTGTAAATCAGAAAAATGTATTTTTTCGTATTTTAACTCCTAAAACTTATTTTTTTTTTTACAATTGTCAACTCCAAACAGAACTTCCAATTACTAAAAAAAAAAAAACACTAATTGTTCCGGCTTATAACTCAGAAAAATTGTTATTTGCATCCTGTAATTCAGAAAAATTTATTTATATCTGACTTATAGCTCGGCACATACAATATTTTTTATTACTAATTAATTTAAATTTAATAATAAAAAACCAAAAATTTACATAAATCATGCATGTAATAAAAAAATCGACTAATTTACCTGATAAGACAAAATATGAATATTATGATAAAACTAAACCTAATGAAAAAAGAAATTAAGACAAAAACTGTTGTAGTAGGGTATCTAGATTTGAACGCACGATCCCTTGCTTCAATAACCAAATTCTTATCCATTACACCACTTTCACATGATACTTTTGTTTGTGAGACGCATTACGTAGCCGCTATGGATGGAAAGCATGTGATGTTACAAGCACCCATAAACAGTGGTAGCGAATACTACAATTATTTTTTAGCATTGTGTTATTAGCACTTGTGGATGCGAATTATAATTTTATTTTCGCTGATGTGGGTACTCAGGGTCGAATATCGAATAGAGGAATATTTTAACATAGTCTAATATGGAAAAAAATACAAGAAAAAAATCTGCCTTTGCCAGAACCAAAAGAACTTCCTGGGCGAGGAAAACGTATTCCTTACGTCATACTGGGTGACGAAGCATTTGCTCTCCATGAAAATGTAATGAAACCCTATTCTGGTCTTTATGAAAAAGGATCGAAAGAAAGGATCTTCAATTATCGATTGTCAAGAGCACGGCGAGTTTCAGAAAATGCTTTTGGAATACTTAGTGAAGTATTTAGAGTTTTAAGAAAACCCGTACTCCTTGAACCTAACAAAGCTAGAGATGTAGTATTAACGACTATTTATCTACATAATTACTTAAGAAAAAGTTAAAATTCCAGAAATACCTATTCTCCTGTAGGAACTTTTGATAGTGAGCTAAATGATGGGACAGTTGTTGCTGGAACCTGGCGGACGGATGATGTAAACCAAACCTCAATGTGCAAGTTAAAACAAATACCAAGAAAAATTCCATCGTATGCGCAAGAAATACGAAAAGAATTTGCCGAATATTTTTTTACAAACGGGCGTATACCTTGGCAAAATGACCGTGCTTAAATAAATATTTTATAATAATATGCAAATAATATTTGTTTTTACTTACTTCTTATGTGTCCTTTTCTGATAAAAAATTAAAAAACTTGAATGCAAACCAGTTTGAGATGTAAATATCCTCCCGCCCTAAAAGCGTATTATAAGTATTATAGAGGGTGTTCCTAAATAACATGTACAAACGAGAGGGGGTGATTCCTTTACATATTTAATGGCTAAAGTGTCATATAAACATGGGTCCGCAAATGCTTGGTTTTCAAGATATAGGGTGTCAAAAGTTTTTTCTAAAAAAAAAATGTGCGTTGCTGACTTTTTTATAAATTATATATTTTTTCCGGATTGAGCAACCAAAAATACAACTTTTTTTTGACATTTTTTCTTATCTTGCTTTGTTACGAGAAAAAAAAAATAAAAAGTAGTTCATTGCATACATATGAAGAACAGAAAAAAATTATACACCCTGCATCTTGAAAACCAAGCACTTTAGCCATTAAATATGACAATAAATCACCCCCTTTCGTTTGTACATGTTATTTAGGAACACCCTGTATATGGGATATAAAACATAGGTATTATTCCTACCTTTTCCAGTGCCAGTCGATTTTTTAATTTTTCCTTTTTCTCTTCTATACGAAGACAATAAAGAAGTCATTTTAGATTTAACAGCATCAACATCAATTCCCATTTCCAAAGAAATGTTGGTCCAAGCATCATGCTTTTTTAGTTTTAATGTGATATGTGTTTTCTTTGGGATTCCAAAATTCCTGTTTTTGGCGATATAAGTCTATCAATTTTTCAATAGCCTCATGAGTCCATTCAATTGAAGCACTCATTTTTTATTTCACTTCAAACAAAATTCGAAAACTCAAAAAAAAATACTTAAATAACAAGCGTAGACGTTATCGCGTCCAAAACAAACCCGCACATACGTTTTCCTTTGATGTACCGACATCTGCCGGATCGCGTTCGCTCTTGTTACAGAGCAGCGCAAATCGGCGCGAATCAGCGCAGGTTGTCGTTCAAACCCGAAGCGCTGCGCCGCTCTGAACTGATGTGAGCGGCGCGGCGCAGAGCAGCGCGCTTGGTCTGGATCCACCTTAAAAGTAATTTTAAACTGTAAACTTGACTAAATGTACTATTATTTTTTTTACTAAATTTTTTATAATATTTTGAAAAATTATCAATAAAGACGGTTTATTATTATTATTATTATTTATGTCAAACAGGATTAATACATATATTATTATTGGTATCTTCATAGATGATAAATGAACGCTTTGCCTTACTTACTGGTTATTAATTCATTTTCCAGGAAAGCAACGACACCATGAAGGCGCGCAGCCAAAACAAGCAGCGTTTCAACTGCCTGGGTAGGTCAAAGAACAACAACAACAATTTTCGCAACAACGCTGCTCTCGGCAACTGGGACCTCAATTTCTTCACCACCACCAACAACAAAAAGCTGACATCTCTTAAACAAAACAACCACAAAGAGGACCAAATGCAGGAAGCGCTCGATCAGTGCATCAATATCGGTAAGGACATCTGGAGCAACGAGGACGAGATGAACATGTACGATGATTTGCCCGTCGATATCAAGGATTTGTTAGATTCGCCGACTCCCCACGATGATACCGTCGAAATGATGAACATCGCTAACATGAGAGATACGGGCAAAAGGAGGTTCATACCGTACGGGACGAATATTATGGGGTAAGTCTGGTTTTATTTGGTTTAAATTAATAGCATTCCTGGAATCTTTATACATTTTAATCACTTTAGCATTCGATTTTAGTTTCTGTGGAAATTCACAGCTTGGCTCTCCTCTAATACTCCCATTTCCGACTTATAACTTAGAAGAATTAAATTTTCCCGCTTGTAATTCAGATTTTTTTAATTCGAAATGGTTACTTGAAAAAAAAATTGATTTTTATTCCGAATTATAAATTGTAACTCAGAAAATTATATTATTACCGGTTTGAAACGCAGGAAAAAATTATTATTCCCACTTATAGATTGGAAATAGCAATTTTTCCCAAATATCTACTTCCTACCTGTAACTAAAAAAAAAAAGATTGTTCTTGTAACTCAAAAAAATTGATGGCTCAGACTTATAGCTTTGAAAACTCGATTATACTGAATAGTAACTCAGGAAATTTTGATTTTTCATCATATTTACTTCATAATATTTTCCCACTTGCAACTCGTGATTTTTTTTTTTTTTTTTTTTTTTTTTCGATTTATAAATTGTGACTAAAAAAATTATTTTTAACCAATTTATAAATTGTAACTCGGCAAGTTATATTTTTACCGGTTTGAAACTCAGGAAAAAAATATTATTTTCACTTATAGATTTGAAAAAGCAATTTTTCGCAATCGTATCTACTTCCTACCTGTAAAAAAAAGGTTTGTTCCTACTTCTAACTCAGAAAAATTGATAACTCCGACTTATAGCTTTCAAAAATTGATTTTACTGAATAGTAACTCAAAAAAATTAGTGTGCTAATCTTTCCATTTTTCCGGTTTATAACTAAAATTTATAATTTCCTCCGCTTCTAACTAAGATTTTTTCTTTCAAATTGTATCTCAGAAAATTATATTTTTACTGGTTCGAAACTCACTTATAGATTGGAAAAAAGATTGTTCCTACTTGTAACTCAGTTAAATTGAGGTCCGAAAATCAATTTTAATGAATAGTAACTCTGAAAAATTGATTTTTCACCATAGTTACTCAGAAAAATATTTCCGTCTTGTAACTCAGAACAAATAATAATTCCGACTTAAAACTAGAAAGTTTTTTTCTCGAATCATAAATTGTTACTTGAAAAAAAAATTATTTTTAATCCGAATTATAAATTGTAACTCAGAAAATTATATTTTTACCGGTTTGAAACGCAGGAAAAATTTATTATTCCCACTTATAGATTGGAAATAGCAATTTTTCCCAATTGTATCTACTTCCTACCTGTAACAACAAAAAGAAAAGATTGTTCCTACTCAAAAAAATTGATGGCTCGGCTTTGGAAACTCGATTATACTGAATAGTAACACAGAAAATCATCATAGTTACTCAGAAAAATGAGTATACTTAATTATTTTTCCGACTTAGAACTCAGAAAAATAATATTTTCCCACTTGCAACTCTAGATTTTTTCTTTCTAATTATAAATTGTAACTCACAAAATTATATTTTTACTGGTTCGAAACTCACTTATAGATTGGAAAAAGGACCGTTCCTACTTGTAACTCAGATAAATTGATGCTCTGGCTTATAACTTAGGAAAAAATTGATTTTACTGAATAGTAACTCAGAAGAATATTTCCTGCCTGTAACTCAAAAACATTGAATTTTTCCGTCTTGTAATTTGGAACAAATGATAATTCTGACTTAAAACTAGAAAACTCCATTTTTTCTACTACTATCTGGAAAAATTGACTTTTTGCAATTTTCAATTATAGCTCAGAAAACGTCGGACCTGTAGTTAAAAAAAAATGATTTTTAAGGATTGCAACTCTGGAAAATTCAGACTTATAACTCGGAAAACGATTTTTCCAAATAACATTGAAAAATAGATACTTCTGGCCTGCAATTCGAAGAAATTTAATAATTCCTACTTACAGCTCAGAAAAATCAACTTTTTCAATTAGTAAATAAAAAAATAATCTTTTCGACCTATAATTCGAGTAAAGTTTTTTCTGTTTAAATAGTAAGCTGTACTCTATATCTATTTTTCCGTCTAGTACTTAACTCGGAAAAAATTCCGATTTATAGCTCAGAAAATGCTAAATATTTTCGACCTATAACTGGGATAAAATATATGAGTTTGGTGTAAATTAAAAACCTTTCCCAAATCTTTGGACATTTAATAATATTGTTTTTTCTTCTTTAAATATCTATTTTTTTGTCTAGTACTTAACTTCAACTTTTTCGACTAGTAAATAAAAAAAAAAAAATTTTCAACCTATAACTCAGATAAAATATATTAGTTTGGTGTAAATTAAGAAGATTCCCCCAAATTTTTAGACATTTTTATGTATTATCTTGCTCTGGACCCCTCAAATACTCCCATTAGTATAATAATATTTTTTTTTTGTTTAAATAGTAAGCTGTACTATGTCTATATCTATTTTTCTGTCTAGTAATTAACTCGGAAAATATTTTTCTCCGTAGTAATTCGAACAAAAAATAGATACATCCAGCTTGTAACTCAGAAATATTTATTTTATACGGTTAGTAACACAAAAAAATATTAATTCCGACTTATAGCTCAGAAAACGATTTTTCCAACTAACTTTAAAAAATACTTCTGGGCCTGTAATTCAGAAAAATGATTATTTTGTGATTTGCAATTCAGATCATCCCCAGCTACAGCTCAAAATCAAATTGTCTGACTAGTAACTAAAAAAAAAATGATATTTTCGTCCTGTAACTCAAAAACATGATATTTTCGACCTGCAACTCAGATAAAATAAGTTGAATATATAAGAATCTTCCCCAATTCTTTGGACATTTTAATCTGTCGTGTAGCTCAGAACACATTTAAGTTCTGTGGAAAGTCACAGCTTGACTCCTTAAATACTTCCAATTGTTATAATAAAATTGTTTTCACCGTAGTAACTCGAAAAAAAAAATAGGTACATCCAGCTTGTAACTCAGAACTATTTATTTTATACGGTTAGTAACTCAAAAAATTATTAATTCCGACTTATAGCTCAGAAAACGATTTTTCCAACTAACTTTAAAAAATAAATACTGCTCTGAGCCTGTAATTCAGAAAAATGAATTTTTTTGTGAATTTCAATTCAGATCATTCTTACCTACAGCTGATAAAAATCAAAGATTCTGACTAGTAACTCAAAAAAAAAAAAATATATTTTCGACCTCTAACTCAAATAAAATAAGTTGAATATATAAGAATCTTCCCCAATTCTTTGGACATTTTAATCTGTCGTGTAGCTCAGAACACATTTAAGTTCTGTGGAAAGTCACAGCTTGACTCCTTAAATACTTCCAATTGTTATAATAAAATTGTTTTCACCATAGTAACTCGAAAAAAAAAATAGGTACATCCAGCTTGTAACTCAGAACTATTTATTTTATACGGTTAGTAACTCAAAAAATTATTAATTCCGACTTATAGCTCAGAAAACGATTTTTCCAACTAACTTTAAAAAATAAATACTGCTCTGAGCCTGTAATTCAGAAAAATGAATTTTTTTGTGAATTGCAATTCAGATCATTCTTACCTACAGCTGATAAAAATCAAAGATTCTGACTAGTAACTCAAAAAAAATGATATTTTCGTCCCGTAACTCAAAAAAAAAAAATATATTTTCGACCTCTAACTCAAATAAAATAAGTTGAATATATTAGAATCTTACCCAATTCTTTGGACATTTTAATCTGTCGTGTAGCTCAGAACACTCTATTTTAAGTTCTGTGGAAAGTCACAGCTTGACTCCTTAAATACTTCCAATTGTTATAATAAAATTGTTTTCACCATAGTAACTCGAAAAAAAAAATAGATACATCCAGCTTGTAACTCAGAACTATTTATTTTATATGGTTAGTAACTCAAAAAATTTATAATTTCAACATATAGCTCAGAAAATTATTTTTCCAACTAGGTTTAAAAAATAACTACTTCTGGGCCTGTAATTCAGAAAAAATGATCATCCCTACCCACAGCTCGGAAAAATCAAATTTTATGACTAGTAACTCAAAACAGTTGATATTTTCTACATCTAACTCAGATATCTTTTGAAATATTAATCACAAGAACAATCGTTATCTGTTTGCCAGCCCTGGACACTCAATTTTAGTTTCTGTGGATAGTCACAGCTTGACTTGTCAAATACTCCCAATAGTATAATAAAATTGTTTTCTCTTTAGTAACTCGAAAAAAAAATAGATACAACCAGCTTTGTAACTCAGAACTATTTATTTTTTACGGCTAGTAACTCAAAAAATTTATAATTCCGACTTATAGCTCAGAAAACGATTTTTCCAACTAAATAAATACTTCTGGGTCTGTAATTCAGAAAAAATGATCATCCCTAACCACAGCTCGGAAAAATCAAATTTTCTGACTAGTAACTCAAAAATATTGATATTTTCGACCTGTAACTAAGATAAATCAAGTTAAATATATAAGAACATTCTCCAAATCTTTATATTATATGGTACACTTTAATGCTATGAATAAATTTTTATTACAACTAGTGCCATTTGAAAACAAAGCGGGAAATTATAATATTTGAGGCATTAAGCTTATTTTATGGTCACTCAACGATTCTTTTCTGATCCTTCCTATTTTTGGATTGTTTTGTTTTATATTGATCCCTTAATTGTTTGTTTACAGTAACTCCATCTGGTCCACCGACCAGGACGTCGCCTTCGACAATAACTTCAATTCATCAATCGACGATTCTTCGAGCACCAACACCAACGATCTGGCGCTGGACTTCAAATTCATCTCAATCGACAATCCGACCATCAACTTCGACGACTGGCCGCCGGCCGATTCGTCCGCTGAGAACGAAACCAACACCCTTTTCGAGACCAAGAACCGTTGCAGGCGGAGTTTGTTCCTTGACGAGTTCAGAAGTCTGCCGGGCGAGTGGAGATCACCAAGCACAAACGAGGAGGATAAGGACGTGGACGAGGAAGAGGAGTGCTTTGAGAACGAGAAGCTGATGAACCGGATGGCGATGAGCTTGTTGAAGTTAAACCACGACAAAGAGAAGAGCGGATTCGTCGAAGTCTCGTCTGGTGCCATTCCACGGGTAAGTCAGGTATAGTTTTTATCAATTATTAGATAGGTAGTTAAAATTTATGAATATTAGACCAATCAAAATACTGCACTTTCAAACACAATGTGACTTTTTCTACTTGAAACTCAGAAAATCGATTTTTCCTACAAGTAACTTGGAAAAATGAATATTTCTCCACTTATAGCTCGATTTTTTCCCCACTTAGAAAAAAATTTGAATTTCCGGATTGCAACTCAGAAAAAATAGTTTTTCCTACTCGTAAGTCAGAAAAATTTAATTTTTCCATCTTTTAATTCATAAAACTTATTTTCAATTGTAACTCGAAAAAAATATATTTTCGGCTTGTAACTCGGAATAAAATAGTTTTGCGGCTTGTAACTCAGAAAAATTGATAATCATTTTTCCTACTTATATATCAGAAAAATGTATTCTTTCCGTATTTTAACTCACAAAACTTATTTTTTACAATTAACGTCAAAAAAATTCGTAACTCGGATAAATTGGTTTTTCCTACTTGTAAATCAGAAAAATGTAGTTTTTCCGTCTTTTAATTCATAAAACAAAACTTTTTTACAATAATTGTCAATTGCAACTCGGAAAAAATATATTTTGGATTGTAACTCAGAATAAAATAGTTTGATAATCATTTTTCCTATTTGTGAATCAGAAAAATGTATTCTTTCCGTATTTTAACTCACAAAACTTATTTTTTACAATTAACGTCAATTGTACCTCAGAAAATGTAATATTTCCGGATTTTGACTCGGAAAAAATCCAGCTTGTAAGTCAGAAAAATGTATTTTTTCGTTTTTTTACTTCATAAAACTTATTTTTTACAATTGTCATTTGTAACTTTAAAGGGTACTTCTGATTAATTACTAAAAAAACACTAATTTTTCCTGCGTGTGACTCAGAAAAATTGTTTCCAACTTATAGATTAGAGAAATCGATTTTTTGAGCTTAGTAACCCTCAAAACTTAATTCAGAAAAATTGATATAAGTAACTCTAAATAAAAAAACCGGTTTCCCGAGTAAATGGTAAATTCCCACTAATAGCTTGGGAAATTCGATGTTTTCCACTATTACTGCAATTATATTTTCCCACTTGTAACTCAGAAAAAATGTATGTCATGTAACTCAGAAAAAATGGTACTTCTGACGTTATATCTTAAAATCTAGTTTTCCTAAATAACTTAGAAAAAAGTCTTGTAGCTCAAAAAATTCGTAACTCGGAAAAATTGGTTTTTCCCACTTGTAAATCAGAAAAATTTATTTTTTCCGTCTTTTAATTCATAAAACAAAACTTTTTTACAATAATTGTGAATTGTAACTCCGGAAAAAAATATATTTCTGGATTGTAACTCAGAATAAAATAGTTTGATAATCATTTTTCCTATTTGTGAATCAGAAAAATTTATTCTTTCCGTATTTTAACTCACAAAACTTATTTTTTACAATTAACGTCAATTGTACCTCAGAAAATGTAATATGTCCGGATTTTGACTCTGAAAAAATTCCGGCTGTAAGTCAGAAAAATGTATTTCATCGTTTTTTAATTCATAAAACTTATTTTTTATAATTGTCAATTTTAACTTAAAAAGGTACTTCTGATTAATTACTTAAAAAAAACACAAATTTTTCCGGGTAAATGGTAAATTCCTACTAATAGTTTGGGAAAATCGATTTTTTTTACCATTACTGCAATGATTTTTTCCCACTTGTGACTCGATTTATTTCCCACTTGTAACTCAGAAAAATATGTATGTCCTGTAATTCAGAAAAAATTACATTTCTGACCTGTAATATAGATAAAATTAATTTGCTAAAATTTGTTCTGGCTCAGAAAAATTCATAACTAAAAGTTAGTTAGTTTTTCATGCTTGTAACTCATAAAATTAATTTTTTCTAACTCTAGTAATATAACATAGTAATTCAGAAAAATTTATATTTCCGGCTTGTAACTCAAAATTTAAAAAAAAACTGGATAAATTGTAAATTCCAACTAATAGCTTGGGAAAACCGATTTTTTTACTATTACTGTGATGTTTTTCCACTTGTAACTCGATTTTTACCACTTGTAACTCGATTTTTGCCACTTGTAACTCGATTTTTGCCACTTGTAACTCAGAAAAATATTTTTGTCCTGTAATGTAAAAAAAAATATATTTCTGACTTATAGCTCAGAAAAATCTACTTTTACTAATAACATAACATAACATAAAAAAATGGATATTTCTGTCCTGTAATTAAATAAAAATCAAATAAAATTAATTTGTTAAAATTCATAACTCTGAAATATTGTTTTTTTCCTGCTGCTTGTAACTCGTAAAATTATTTTTTTTTTTAAATTGTCAATTGTATCTCATAAAGGTACAATTCAGAAAAATTGATATTTCCGGCTTGTAACTCAAATTTAAAAAAAAAAAAACTGGTAAATTGTAAATTCCAACTAATAGCTTGGAACATTCGATTTTTTTTTTTTTTACTATAATTTTACCTTAATGATTTTTTCCATTTCTGACCTTTATTTCAGAAACATTTATTTATTTCTGGCTAGTAACCCAGAAAAAATGATATTTTCTACTTATAGTTCAGAAAAATCTACTTTTCCTAATAACTCAGAAAAAAAGATATTTCCGACTTGTAACTTAGATAAAATAAAAGTCCTGTAATTCATATAAATTTATTTATTTCTGACTAATAACTCAGAAAAAAAAAATGATATTTTCAACTTATAGCTCAGAAAAATCTGCTTTTCATAATAATAACTCAGAAAAAAAGATATTTTAGACTTGTAACTTAGATAAAATAAATTTGTTCTGGCTTGTAACTTGAAACTAAATTGATTGTTTTGACTTTTAGTTCAGAAAAATCCATAACTTGGTTTTTCCTTCTTGTAAATCAGAAAAATGTATTTTTTATTATTTTAACCCATAAAACTTATTTTTTTTTACAATTGTCAATTGTAACTCAAAACGTTACTTTTCTGATTAATTACTAAAAAAATGAAACACTAATTTTTTTGGCTTGTAACTCGGAAAAATTGCATTTAAATCCTATAATTCAGATAAATTTATTTATTTCCGACTAATATCTCGGAAAAAAAATGTTATTTCTGATTTAAAGCTGAGGAAAATTTATTTTTCCTAATAACTCAGAAAAAAAAGATATTTTCGTCTTGTAACTTAGATAAAATAAATTTGTTCTGGCTTGTAACTTGAAACTAAATTGATTGTTTTGACTTTTAGTTCAGAAAAATCCATAACTCCATAACTTAGTTTTTCCTTCTTGTAAATCAGAAAAATGTATTTTAGTATTTTAACCCATAAAACTTATTTTTTTTACAATTGTCAATCATGGGCGAAGTTATGTCATCAGATTTGGGGGGGCTAAAGCCCTAACCCTAGTCATATAATATATAATAGTTCTAGAGGTATACTGAAGTTAAGTAAAAAAATTCTGGCGAATCTATGAAAATGAATAAAATATCATATATATAAGTGAAAAAACTGAATAATTTTCATCCCAAAAATTTCCCTAATTTTCGCAACAAGAGTAGATATGGACAATCCACTCGAGTTGTGCAGTATATTTTTTCTACGAACTACTAACGAAAATCTACAAATTTAAAAAATTATTTTAGGTTTAGACAAAATAAGCCATTCTAAAATAATTTATAAATTTTATTAATTTATAAAATAAAATACATAAAAAAAAAGTATCCCCTATAGTCCAGATTCGAACCCAGGCTATTCGCGTGGAAGGCAAATGCTCTGTCCTCAGCTCCATCGTCACTTTTAGGTTTTTAATTTTAATACTCGTAATTAAATTAGATTCATACAATTTGATTAAAATTTACATTTTTAAATGTGGCCCAAATAAAATTAAAATGTTATTTTTTATCGATTCTAAACAAAAATAACTAATTTTAACGTATATGTAATTTCGGCTCCTTTCTTAGTTTCGGTCGAAACCGAAACAGAAATAAGAACTTTCTTTTAAGGCATCTCTTATTGAAATTTGCAATATCTTTGTTTAAGACTAATTAACTCGTATTATAAAGTTTAGCTACATTTACTTATTACCTATTTATGTGATCAAAAGAAGCCATTAATAAATTTATTGACATTGTTTTTTTTATTACTTTTGAAACTAAAAAAAAAAGTAGCAATCATTTCTGCATCTGTCTCTAGATTTTTTGTAACAAAAAATAGTATTATGAAGGGAATTATATATAATGTAATTTTTATTTAAAAAAAAAACAAATTCAGATAATTAAATATGTTTGTTACTTATAATTAAATTAATATTCATAAGTAAACAGTCTAACGTTGTAGGCTAGAAATAATATTTTTTCCACGTTTCACCTAAAAAAATGCTCCTTTGATACGAATAAATTAGGCCAGGAGCACTGAAGACTGTTCACTTGAAACAAAGCAGAGAAGTACGTGCACTGTGTAGGAATGGCACCCGGCACAGTCGCCATTGTGCCGGACACAACCAAGTGTGATACGAAAACTTTCGAAAGTAGTTTCGTAGTTGGCTGCAGTTTCGGCCAGTTTTCCACCAAAACCGAAACTGTAGTCGAAACTTTTATTTTAAGCCGAAGTTGGCCATAACCGTAACCGAACCTTCGGCCGGGCACTACTTGTGAGTCTGGCAGGCTTTCGTGATTTTAGTTGTCAGCCAGACCTATATTTTCACTTAGAATACCACTAGTACCTAAATTATTTCCGAAATTTTTTTCGAACTTACGAATATTTTGAAATTTATCCTGAGTCGAAAACGATTGATATTTTTCTTAAAATATGCGTGAGTGAGCAAATATTTACTGATTATAATTTAGGCACCAGTGGTAGGTATTGGGTAAGAAAATTTTACACCAAAATATTCAAATTTCAAAACTTGACAGACATATATTAAAACGACTAAAATCAAATTTTCAAAACTGGCCATAGAACAACATATAAAACATATGCATAAAAGAGCTTCTCAACTGTCAAAAAAATTTTCAGTATAATTTCGTTCAGGGTACCCACCAAAAGAAAAATTTCCGGAAATTTTTCATGGAAGCGTTTGAAAATAACGGTATTTGATCTGCTATAACATAGAGCTGTAAAATTATAATATAATCTATCATATGACAAATTTTCAAACCCGGGAAAATAAAAGCAAAAATATTATATTTTTTCGATTTTGAAGATATTACCAGACTCATTTGCCAATTTCGTAAATCAGCCAGACTTATTATTATTAACAGTTCATGATTGTATCAATTTATATGCTAAATTTTTTGCCACACTCACTTTCCACTATCTGAGATATTCCAAACTGCTATTTTTATAAGCTTTATGTTCTAGTTTAGTAAATGTAAAATATTTATGACTGAGAAAATAAGTGTCAGACTCAAAATGTTTGTTTTTTGTCACTAAGAGAACAGTTTATTTTCATATACACCGATTGGAAAAATGAGTACGAGTTAAATTCACTGCCTCCTGAACTAAATGTAAAATTTCAGAATCAATCAAATGGCACGATTTTTCTTTATTTATTAATGTCTGTTCTGAAATCTGAAATGTGTGGATAGATGTGCGATAAATGTTCGAATTATTTTTGGGGGGGCTAATTTGGTTTTTGGGGGGGCTTAGCCCCCCCAAGCCCCCCCCTAACTTCGCCCATGTTGTCAATTGTAACTCAAAACGTTACTTTTCTGATTAATTACTAAAAAAATGAAACACTAATTTTTTGGCTTGTAACTCGGAAAAATTGCCATTTAAATCCTATAATTCAGATAAATTTATTTATTTCCGACTAATAACTCAGAAAAAAATGTTATTTCTGATTTATAGCTGAGGAAAATTTATTTTTCCTAATAATTCAGAAAAAAAAAGATATTTTCGTCTTGTAACTTAGATAAAATAAATTTGTTCTTGCTTATAACTTGAAACTAAATTGATTGTTTTGACTTTTAACTCAGAAAAATCCATAACTCCATCACTTGGTTTTTCCTACTTGTAAATCAGAAAAATGTATATTTTTTGTATTTTTAACTCATAAAACTTTTTTTACAATTGTCAATTGTAACTCAAAACGAAACACTAATTTTTCCAACATGTAACTCAGAAAAATTGTTATTTAAGTCCTGTAATTCTGATAAATTTATTTATTTCTGGCTAATAACTCAGTAAAAAAATATTATTTCTGACTTATAGCCCAGAAAAATTTATTTTTCTCTAATAACTCAGAAAAATAGTTATTTCCGACTTGTAACACGATTAAAATAAATTTGTTCTTGCTTGTAACTAAATTGATAGTTTCGACTCGTTTGATTTTTTCCCCAGAGTAACTCAAAAAATTTGATATTTGCCAAGAGTTATGAAGAAAAATTCATTTTCCTCACAATAACTCAGAAAATAGATATTTTATCAAAAAAAAAAAAATCTGCCTGTGACTCAAAAACGAATTTCTTATAAAACTTTTTTTTTTTTCGACTTCCGTCTTATTTCTAAAAGTCTTGTGGAATTTTTAACTAAACAATAGTTTTACATTCAAATTGAAACTAAAGCCAATGGTTATTAGAATAACCATTGGCTAGAGGTCCGGTTTTTAGATGGCCTTGTGAGCGTAACTTTTTTGTCTTTGACTAAATTTGAAGATATATACCGGGGCACGGCAAAATTTTCTATTTTTCGCTTTTATCTTGATAATTAGTCAAATTGAAAAATATCTTTATAAACAAAACTTAAGGTGATAAACATTGGTATAGAATAAACCAATTTATTGTTGTCTTATCCCTAACCGTTTTATAGTTGTAAGCCATTGAAAATCATCATTTTGCTATTACTTTTATGTAACGCGATTTTTTTATTTTTCAGACTCACTCTTATAATCCTTTCGGCAAACGGCCCAACAACGCATTCACCTTCACTTCGAAATTCTCGTATTCCGACACCACGGACAAGGAAGATCTCCTGCTATCTGGCCGTACGCACTTTAAACCTATTTGCGCAAAAAACGAACTTTCGGCTCATCACTTGATGTACGCCGACGGCTGTTCGTTCCCGATTTGCAATAATCTTGATAAGGTATGTTAAAAATCGATCTGAGTCAATTCTGGCTATTGCGGATGCCAATCTACCAACTTTAATGCAATGTATTTGATCATTTACGTTAATAATCAATTCAGGTCGTCGTGGAGGTCAATCTACCCACTTTTAATGTAATTTATTTATTTGATAATTATCGTTTAAAATCAATGTGAGTCAATTCTGGCCGTCACGAAGACCAAGCTTACCAATTTTTAGTGCAGTTTATTTGTTAATTTTCGTTAAAAATCGATCGAAGTAGATTCTGGCCGTCGCAGAGACAAATATATCAACCCTTAATGTTGTTTATCGTATTTTTTTATCGGTGGTTTTGTTTAAGGTTGATTACAAGAGAAGCGAAACTGGCACGCGGTTGTTGGAAAACGAATTTGGTCAAAGCAAGAAATACTTTGAATACAAGATGATGGGAGATTTATGGTCGAAGTCCGAACCGGAATTCGTTTTGAAATTCAGTGTTTGCCAGAACGACAAGTCTTGCCAGACCGACGACTCTAAATTAGATTTTGAGGCCATCGAAAATTGCAAATTGTTTGAGGTGAGTTTTGTGGATTAATAAAAATTAGCATGGGGGTGATATAACACGATTATTAGTCTCTTTATAAATATTCCTTCTTAAAAAACAAATAAAAAGTTCTGCATTATCTAAAATCTAGAATACAGTCATCAAATATCAAATTTTTTTAGTGGTATACGAGGTTTGTCAAAAAATATGTGTTTTACTCAAAAGTAAAGTACCTTTATTCTTTATACGACTGATAAAAATTTGATATTTGATGGTTATATTTTACGTTTTAGACCATGCTCGACTTTTTATGAAGAATAACTTTTTTTCCTAAAATTAATAATAAAAAAGTTTTCCATATGATTCCAACTTAGGGGGACATACTGTATATGGAATTTTTGAAGAATTTTTATAATCTGTTAGCATTAGCACTGTGTAAATTTGACCACAGATTTTTTCGACACAAATCTATTTTTTATAAGGATTTATTTTTCCTGATGAAATCAATAATACATATTTTTTCTTTTGTCAATTTCGTCCGTGTACATTCTGTATACAATATGATAACTTTTCAATCCTGACTCCAGAAGAACGGTATAGAAACACAATGCTGTTGAATAGAGATAAATAGAATAATAATTGTTTTCAATGTCCCACTACTTCTTTTTTCATACTTTTTATTATTATGGGTTTTACTTTTAATTTGTATATTCTTGTATTTATTGTGACATTTCCTATATCATGTAAATGATCTTTCAGGATATTTTTTTTTTTTCAGATAGATATTTATTGATGTAAAATAAAAATAAATATTTTACGTGTCAATTTTAAAAGTATAAAAAAAAAGATATATAGGTATAGATACAGAAAATACACTTACAATTTAGAAAAATATAGACAAAAAACTACGTGTGGCACTCAGGGACTGCCGCGGTAAAGCTATTGCATAGCATTTTTTATCAACTTATGCAATTATAATTATTTATTTTATTTATGCAGTATTTTTTTTGCTTTGATATCAAGTTTTTTCTTTGATATTAATTCAAGTTTTATTAAATAAATGAGATGTTAATATTGTTTAAAATATTTTTATTATCTTACAATACATGTAGGTTATTCAGGAATTTTTATCATTGAAACTATAGGTTTATGGTAACTGAAATAAGAAACATAAGTTTGAGACTTGATATCCTCTAAATATCTGGAAAATACCGCGTCAATTGTGTCTAAAAGAGATAGAATCAGTTATGAGCAGTTATCAGCTAGTCTACACGCATACGTCTAGTCGCACGCACACAAACACCGTGCCGAAGTCTGCCAAACTGAAACGACGTTAGACGATGCACGGCTTTCAACGCCGTGCCGGTCGGAGTGGGGAGTTGCTTGTTACATTTGGTGACAGTGATGGGATTTAGGCTTCTCGGTTGTTACATTTGGTGACAGCGGTGGTAACAACCAACTAGCCTAAATACCATTTGTAACTACTGATAGGTCTTTAGCTGTTGTTAATATACTATTAAGGGATTAGGACAGAGCCATCACCAGCCAAAGAGTCCTGGAGTCCAGAAGGAACATCCATTCACCAGTGGCAAATAAAAAATAATAAATAAATTAAATCAAAAGAATAAAAATTATCCCTTCATAGCATAGTCGAGCGGTTCTTGGCAAGTAGTTTTACTCTGTTAGTCCTAAGGGAATAGAAACGCTGAGCTTCTCAAATGCTCGGAGTATTTTACTGGTTTGGAAAGGAAGGAGAGATTAATAATAAGTATTAAAACATTAACAAATGTATATTAATAAGTACAAAATTTTACTAATAGTCTTAAGAAAAAATTAATAAAATTCCATTTAGAGAATAAAGCACTGTAACTACAGAATACTATAAACATGATCATTCGGGACGAAAATGTAAAATTGGCATTTATATGTAAATCAATTGATTATTATTAAACAAAATACTTTAAATTTAAGTTAAAAATATTTACCCATAATTTACAAATCGTACACAAAACTTTACTCTGCACATCACATTGTTTTGGGACTTAAAGTCCCAAAAAAAAAAACTAGATCTTCCGCCCTAGGCGAAAGGTCTGGACCTTAGTCCGTCCTCGACTAAGAGTGTTTACTCAAGAGTCCGCACTTGATTGAGCCTTTATTTCTATCTCCTCTATATAAACCAAAGTTTACGGGATGGTTGTATTTTAAAAAATGTCACTTCCAATTTAGCCATTGACTACATTAATAACCTGATTGTTTCATTTTCATAAGTGTCTTCCTTTTTAATTTTTAATTTAAAACATACTTATTTAGAATTTTTGGTAAATTCTTTATATTTCCAACTAATAATAATGCCAATTATTATATTATTTCCCGACAGAAAAAAAATTGAACTACTTGTTCAATTCTTTTTAAAACCCTTAATGTAAATAATTTACAAAAAAATTTCAAACAAAATCTACAATAATATGGTAACCTTACGCTTGCTTCACTGCACAAGTTGTGTATTCTTTGGTCTTCTAGATTGGCTGGCCGTAACTACCCTTTGCTCTCTGGCTGTCACCTCTCATCGACCCCTGATCCTTGACCTTCCTGGAATGGTCCCTTCCCGATCTGGTTTGGTCCTTGGGCTGCTGAACCTGGTAACCTTTTTGGCTGAGGTTACAGGTTCTTTCTGCTGCAGTGGTCTCTCCATTTTCCATTAGACTTTGGACTGCTTCCCTGGCTTGCTATTGTACATGGCTGCTGTACACGGCTGCTACTGGTAGGTCCCTATTGACTCATTACTGGGAATGGCCTCTTTCATTGAACCTTAGTCCATTCCATATAAATTCTTTGGTCCCTTTTTTTGCATTTGACTCCATCTTCTTCCTGCTGTGGATTCGGCTCCCACAGACTCAAAATGGACCCAACATCATGTCAAGCTCCCTTGGCGATATGCTTCATGCCCTCTGAGAGCTTGGTGGTACTAGTTGTCCTTGATTTTGGATTTGGATGTAGCAGTCTCTCTGTAGCCTTGGATTCTGGAGTCCTGGAATTCAGGCCATTCTCTGCCGTGGATCGTGGAACTCTGGATTGGCTTGGTACGGTCCTGGATTTGGGTACCTATTACGATTTGGACTTCGTGATAGTCCTGAAAACGGTGCTGATGGTGACTCTGGCAAAGGTAGTACGGTGTTGACCTCTTCTTTTCCTTCTTCTTTTTTCTTTTTCTTCTTGTGCAGTGGCAACGTCTTTTGATTACTCTATGACAAAAATATTATTTACATTTCAGGTTTTCCAGCAAAAAAAAAACAAATCTTTTATATAAATTTCCTTAATCACCCCAATAGCACATTTACAGTTACGTAAACAAATGTTTTTATTAACTCGAAATAATTTATTATTAATGAACTGGTAAAAATATCCTTTATTTATTTTTAAATCTTTCTCTCAATTATTGTAATTTACTAGGAGTATTAAATTCCAAAAATTGTAACTAGAATAATTTTGTGTGGATTGTTTAATCCGAGAATAACCAATTTATGCACTTTTTATTTTGTCATCAAATTTCCAAAATTTATGTGGAATCCTACATTTTAATAATCCACTAAGATATTATAAATTAGTACTTCTCACCATCTTTGTTTTCGAAACGAATTAATAATAAAAGCTAGTATGTTTTATTACAGAAACAATACTATTATTTATTTCCTGGCCATCAAAAATAAACAAAATATATCTCTAAAAATAAAAAATACTTTTGTTAATTACACATACGCATAGATTAAAAAATTGTCTACACCTAATAAAATCCAATAAAAACCCCCTTTTAAAATAATTCCTGTCATTTATTCTATATTACTTATCCTGAAATTTCCTATATTGTAATTCATTTTGTTTAAATGGTTCGGTAACAAACAAATTTTCGATATTGGACACTACAAAACCCACATTTGGCGTATGGAAAGTCGTACACAATTCCCCAGAAAGTAAACGTATGGGCCGGATTATGGATTCCTTAATTGTGGGTCGCTTTTTTTATTGAGGGAACACTATTTAAGACCTACTACAAAATTACATAGCACCCAGTTTAAATGCATTTTTCCCGAATGGTGAAAATCCAAATATATTGGCAGATTCAATATGGTTCCAACAGGATAGAGCACCCTCACTATTCGCGAACAATACCTTAACAATATTTTCCAAAATAAATGGATTGGAAGGAGAGGGTTTATTGAATGACAAGCTAGGTCTCCAGATCTAACCCCATTAGATTTTTACCTGTGGGGTTATCTGAAAACCAAAGTCTACTTCAATAAAACGGAAAATATTGAAGAATAGAATAAGAGCCGAAATTCAACACTTAATTTGAATTGTTCTGTTTTTTACAACCAGAATATTTTATACCAAAATAAAAATCCTCAGAATGTTTAATCTTAATTCTGGATTACTGTCGAGTGTAGGTATGGTAATAAATTATAATTAGAATTTGATGCAAATTTTAAAAATGAAATAAAAATAGGTATTTCTATTTGGAAAAATTAAGTTGATGGTTGTTACTTATTTTTGGACCACCCTGTATACATGAGTTTACCAAAAAAAAAACGGCAGTCAAAAATTAAAATCGACAGGTCTAAGCGTTTTTCCAAAAAACAAACATCTACATTTTAAGTGAATTTTTTCCAACTCACGAGTCCTCACTGTATAATTACAAAAGTTATAAATACGAATAATAGAAATATAATTTAAAAAAATGTTCAAATCTAAAAACCACTTGTTTGTTATCCAAGGAATGCATGAATCACTCTTCTTCAGAAACCAAATATTTACTGAAACAAATGGTAGACTATCAGTTGAAGATAAGGATTTGTGTACCATTGTTTTGAAAAATATCAATTTACGACCTTTGATTTATTGCCTGGCATTCTATTGCAACCATATTATAAATACTATTACTTCACGTAAATATTACCCTATGTTACCAAGCAAATTAAAGATAAGAAGCTTAATAAAATTACATTCCCAGGAAATTCTCTAACTCCGGGGACTGGTGGGGACTGGTTCGTGTTTTTTTTTTAAGCTTAGGCGCTAGGGGCGGTCCTGTGCAACACTTGGTCGACCCCACTACGAAACTTCAGATTTTCTTTTACAGTTTTAAAATTAAAAATAGAATAAAGGAGAAAAAAGAAAACTGTTACTTTATATGCCAAAATTAGAAAAGTTGTTTATATCCCTTATCAAAGTTATATTCCAATTATGTTTTTAATATAAATATATTATTTCTGAAATTTACTATATTCAAAGGGTGAAATTTGATTTTAAAACATGTTTGGACCAGACCGATTCTGATCAATGAACACTTGGCAAAGCAATATGACTTCACTCACTGAGACCTGCTTTTCGTCGCTTTATTTACATATGGATGAACAATCTATATAGCTATATTTTCAGTATTTACTCGACATTCATCGTTTACATTATGTTAATAAACATCCTTTTCTTCCAGGGAACGATGAACGTTTGTATATCACCGTCTCCCGACGTCGTCGACGGCTGCTCCTGTCCCGAAGACGCGGAATCCCTACATTCGGACATCGACAAGAACAAGGACGACTTTTTATTTTACTCGCAACCGGTGGCGCGCTCAGAAAGTATGCTCAGCGAAGTCGTTTGGAAGTACGAGGAGAAGAATTGCGACAAATGCAGCGACGGCAGCCGTTCGGCTTGGAGCCGAGGCGGCGATTGGTCGTCTAAAGGGCAAATGGATTCCGATTGGGACGATAACGGTTTGAGAAGCATCTGGGGCGGTGGAGAGGTAAGTGTATTCAATAAATTGTTAATCTCATTACTTTCTTCCAAGTTTTAAAGTGTTGATTGGGGTTTGGATCGTTATTATAAAATCTAACCCTCCTTTCTTATAATTTTTTACAGAATTATTTTGAACTAGTCTGACAGACATTTCCAGAAAAAATAGTGAAGAATCACATTGAAAAGTAGTCAACTTTAGGCATCTTGGATGCTTTTTTAAAAACACTTTGGAAATAACATTTGCATTTTCGTTTTATTAGGCAAATAATTTGTAAAATATACTTTCCACCTTTGGATTTTATGGTAATTTTTTCACGTACTCTTTTTAAAAGGATGTGAAACGAAAACACCGTTGAAACATATAAAAGTCAGTAATAATTTGTCATATTTCTTCTTTTTTAAACTTTATTTTGCCTTTGCAAGAAATTCGGACAAATAAACTTTTCCAATTTTGAAAACTGTGTTCAAACTAGTCAATTTTTCAGACTAGTCCGTTGGACTTGTCCAATACTCACCACTAGTATTTATCATTAGATTTTGCTTCAGATTTCAGATGCGTATTAATCTTAAGTTTTCTTTCTAGGTGTGTCAGAAATGCCTGACTCAGAACGCCTCAGACAACCAACCCAAACGGCCGAACCGTCAGCTTCGCGACGACATCAGTCAGGACGGCGAGCAGCTGCTCTCCGATCTCTCCTCCATCCAGAAAACTTATATGGACGATCTGCCGCTCCTCGCCGAACGCTCGCTCGATCTATCTGAGCTCATCAGCGCCACGACCGCATCCGGCGGAGCGACGTCCAAGGAGCGCAAGCGACGCCATTCGCTCATCGTCGACTACAATCCCGATTCGTGGAGCTTCGCTTCGCGCCTCGAAGAGGACTGTCTCATGCAAATGGCGGCGTTGCCCGATCTGAGGGCCGTCACGCTTTAAATGAGAATATCCGAGGGGCCGGGCGAGAGCGCGTCTGCGAAACTCGCGCGTACTTCGAAAGAGGAACGACGAAAGCTGATAATAGTTTTGCCGCGTCGATAAGTTAAGAGTTGTAGTCGCTGTGACGGTCGCAGTAAATTTTGACGGCGTTTTTATGGCCTTTAATCATTGACAATTTGACGATTTACAGTTGACAACTACTTACATGAAATAATAGACGGGGTAGAAATTTAAATGTATTAAAACGTTTGATAACATCGATTGGTTTGACGTTAGCAGTTTCATTAACAAGTGACATATCTGTCAAAGAACTCTTCAAGCTTCCAATAACAGAATTAATATTATTAAGTCTGCAATAGTAATTTAAATGTACCAAAATGTTTAACAAATAACAGATATGTAGTTAGACATCAATCGGGTTAACGTTAACAGTTTCTAAAATCGTTGACAAGTGACATATATGTCAAAGAACTCTTCAAACTTTCATTGTCAGAATTAATAACATTAAGTCTACGATGGCTATTTAAATATACCAAAACGTTTAATAAGTGACAGATATGTTGTTAGACATCAATCGGGTTGACGCTAGCAGTTCTTAAAATCATTGACAAGTGACATATCTGTCAAAGAACTCTTCAAGCTTCCATTGACAGAATTAATATCAAATCCGCGAAGATCAATAGTTGATGTTTCAGCGTTTTAAAATCATTCACAAGTGACATGTACTGTCTCACAAGTGACATGTACTGTCATAACTTTGTTAAACATAAAAAATCGACTATGATTTATTAAACCTAAGGTTCTCGACATTTTTTAATAATAATCCCGTTTTTTATTTTCTATACTTTTTTATGTATATTTAGTTGTATTCAATTTTTAGCTGACTTAACATTTTTTTGCTCAAAATCAGTAACTTCAACACATGGATAATTTCGACTTTGGAAACTTTTCGTAATATGTTACACGTTATTAACATTAACTAAGTAGTTCATATGTACAGATCTCGAATTAACTAGACTAGAAAAACTGATTTGAACCAAATATGACTTCATAAAACTTAATTTTTACTTTAATTATTTTGGAAAAAGTTCAATCCTAATAATTGATTCCAAACTCAGATAATCATTCTGATTCTTTAAATATTCTTATAAGTCAAAGAAAACAATTGTATCGTTGTTAATAATAAACTACTTTGACGTTTAATGTCTTATTGCAGATACGAACTCGGAATGACATTTTTAACGTCATTCGATCAAGTAATTTGACATTGACATTCGCTAAACATTTTGTTCTAACATAAATGACAATCCATACGATTTTTTTTTTCAAAATTGACAACAACTACGTTACCAACTTATTAAACGAATTCAACTTTTGACGCCTTGTTCAAATGTCATTTCAAAATGGCCTCCGAAACGCTACGAATTGCGACCGATCCGTTGTCGACATAAAATTTCTTTTAACTTGCACCAGTACAGTTTTCGACGTTCGACTTTTTGGGCGCCAAAAAGTGGTGCGCTGAGTTTCGCTGATAGCCTCTGCCCGCCTTTGAGGTTAGTTTATTGGCTTTGGATTTTACAAATAAATAAAAAGCGGCATGCAGCATCGTGAGCGTCTGTCGAAATGCAAAAAAATCGACGCGCCCATACAATACGACTGCCATATTAGTTTCAGTGCAGCAAAAACGTAGGGGGCGGTAGCGCGCACACATGCAGCGTGGCCCCCTTACGAAGCGATCCTGACATGCCGCGCGTGCGCTCTCCGCTTTTACAATATTTATTAAAACAAAATGGAACGAACCAAGTCGCGCCGCCACGCTTTCGGGGCGGTGCGCCCCCCTAACCGGCTTTTGTTACGTTGTGCACATATTTATATATATAAAAATTATATAAATACTTGATTTAGCGAGAAGTAAGTTTACTGACGTCCCACGCACACAAACGGGGAGGTAGCGGCATTATTTTATACTATTATATATATTTTTTTTGTTTTCTGTTAATTGATCGCGACCCCACATACCTCGCCGCGCGCTCGTGGGCTTGTAAACTACATTTAGGTGGTTAACGAATGTTTTTTTTTTGTTTTGTTAACAAGTACTTTTTGCTCGATATAACTTTTTTAATAATTTTATAAGTGTAAATCTCGTCCTTCCCCCCCCCCCCCTAGAAATCCCCACCCCTCTCGCTTAGACGAGTCCCCGTGTTTCCCCCTACGTCCCCTTAGAAAATCCCAGGTAAAAATCAAGTCGTCGGTCTCGAAAGGTACGCCCAATAAAACCGCTTGGATAATTGAAGGTTTATTTCGAATTGGTTTAAATTGATAGGTAAAAGTGCCACATAAGTTTCGTTTAACCCTGTATGTCTGTCAATTGGCGCTAATATGTGCTCGAATTAACTATCCACGTACATCGATTTCAATTGGTCATAATTAGTGTGTCTATTAATTCTAAATAGCGAATATGTACATCAATTAGTACTAATTAGCTTATTTATCTCTTTTAGTCCTAATTAGTGTATTTATACGTCAATTGGTCTTGATTAATTTATGTATACGTCAATTATTTCAACTTGCTATATAAAATGGAGTTCAACCAATTCTATTAATTAGCATTTACATTCAATCAGTAAAAATATCTCATACATTGGTTTCAATTGGTCATAATTAGTGTATCTATACATTAGTTCTAAATAGCGGATTTATATGTCTAAATAGCGTATGTGCATGTTAATTAGTACTAATTAGCGTATTTATACGTGTATTTGTCCTAATTAGCGTATGTATATGTCTATTAGTCTTAATTAGCTTATTTATGTCTATTAGTCCTAATTAGCTTATTTATATGTCAATTAGTTCTGATTCACGTATTTAATTAACCGATGTTTCTATCTTTGTAAAATCCCCGTTATCTACAGTATTTCATCAATTAGTCCTAACTGATATGATAGTTATGTCTTTAGAACACAGTAACCTACAATAAATTTAATTTAACACATATAGACTAATTAATAGGTATAATTTTGCAGAAACTAAACATCAGTTAGTATAATCAATGTCAATTGTCAAGACAGCTATCAGTTTTAACCCTCCTGTTGTAGAAACAACCAAATTTTGAACCATCCATATGTTTTTATATTTCCATCAATTAGTTTCAATTGGAACTCATATTTAGAGGACATACTAATTGATAAAAAAAATTCGCAAAATTGATACCAATTACTTTAATTACGTCTTGTAGAGTAATTGCTTCATTAAGTGTTTTATGTAATTCCGATTAGGTAGTACTAGTTTGCTCATATCAGTGAGCCTGAGCGTTTAATTGGCCCGATTTCAACCAGCAAATATAATTAAATTAGTCCTAATTAGCATTAAAGTATAATAATTGATTGTTATGACGTCCTAAATTTAATTTTGCAACTCTAGTTTATTTAACGCGCGTCAATTAGTAGTCACGTTTGTAAATATCCGAGACTCAATTAATATTCGACAGCTCAATTAAACTAATTGGTAATTACGTGTAATAATTGACAGATTAAATTCAGTTAGTTTATTTAACGCGCGGCAATTAGTAGTAATGTTTGTAAATTTTGGATACTCAATTAATATTTGACAGCTACATTAAACTAATTGGAATTGAGTGCAATAATTAATTTGACAGATGATTAAATTCAATTAGTTTATTTAACACGCGACAATTAGTAGTCACGTTTGTAAATTTCCGAGACTTAATATTCGACAGCTACAACAAAACTAATTGGTAATTACGTGCAATTAGTAGTCACGTTTATAAATTTCTGATACTCAATTAATATTCGACCGCTACATTAAGCTAATTGGAATTGCGTGCAATAATTAGTTTAATTGACAGATGATTAAATTCAATTAGTTTATTTAACGCATGGCAATTAGTAGTCACGTTTGTAAATTTCCGAGACTCAATTAATATTCGACAGCTACATTAAACTAATTGGTAATTACGTGCAATAATTAGTTTAATTGACAGACGATTATGGTAAAAATAAATGCGGTACTTTTGCGCTTTTGTCGAGTTGATAGAGTTGGATTGAAATAGTCTTAGTTTGAATAGTTGAAAGAAATTCTGAGTGTTTGGGTAATATTGCATCGAAATGTTGCAGAACGATGTTTCCATAACGTTTCTGTGATGTTACTGAATGGTTTTTCTGGACGCCCCTATCGAGACCGACCGACCACACGAAGCTAGACGAATTTTTAATTTCGGGTTTTGAAAAAAATAGAAAATATTTTTTTCGTTTTGGTGTTGAATTCAGTTTTCTAAATTTGAGATTATTTTGCGAAATTGACGCACCGATGTTTTCTTGTTTTCCTTCTTTTTTTTTAAGTAATTATTGCTTTTGTTTCGGTTCTGTTGTTTCTTTTATTTTGTTGTTAAAAATTTTTGTTTTTTGGATGAAATTAAATTTCTATTGATGATCGGTGTTGTTGCGATTGAATCGGTTTTTTTTATAATTTTTTGGGAAGATGATTATTTTTTGGAGAGATTATTTTAATCGTCTTTTTTAACTTTTAGATCTGCCGATTGACTTTTCAGTTACATATAAAAAAAACACACTGTAAATATTATGCAGCCGTACGTTTTGAACGTGCAGACCACTTTTGTTAATACGTCGAGTAAACTTTCATCGACCCTCGTAATATCGTTTCAGTATCCTATTTTTTTAGATTGTCCCCATATCTGGGGAAAAATAGACAAATGTGGCAAAAGTGCAAAGCCAGTGACTAGAGAAACAAGAGCAGAAATCGTTCTGAAACTGTTTTATAATAGTGTTTTACGATTTTGCATTGTTGCCAATTTGTCCTTTTTTCTCTAGATCTAGGGAAAATCGGTGTATTCTAACTTAAATGTGGTCTGCATTGGTCGAAACGAGCGGCACCTAGACTTTTCCAAAATTCGGCAGATCTACCATCACTGATGTATTTTACAGTTGAGTGTTTTTTTTTTGTCTTATTTTCCGTGTAGTAACGGAATTTTTTTTGTATTTAGGTGTTTTTTTTTATTAGGGCATTATATCCTAGCATATTATATAGCTCTATTAATTTTTTTATTCATCGAATAAACGCTGATGGAACATCTTGGTAGTTGGAGAGTGAAAGAGAGAGAGAAAAAAAAATTATAGAGTGGTTTCGATTTTAAGGACACAAGAAGAAAAATGCGAAAAAAAAAATTAAAATAAAAGTTTAAAAAAAACACGTTTGCTGCAGATAACCTCTCCTTTTTTAGTAGTAATTTTTAAGTAAATGGAAATGGTTACTTTTTAAGTTATTTAAGAGTTTATTTGTATGTAAATGGCTGAGCAGGATGTTTTTTTAAAAAATTACTACGTATCTATCTTATGAAAATATAATATCGTATTCGGATTAATTTGATTTATTATTTCTATATGTAAATATATAGTTTATTCGTAGAGTACGGGAATTTGCACAACGTTTTTAAATAAATGGAGATACAAATCATCATATTGCTATCTTTAGTTTTCCTGTTCAGTTTTTTTTGTTATGTATATTATATAATAATCGGACAAGGTTCTCATCCGTGCCTAACCTCTGGCTTGTTCTATTAACACCTCGAACGCCGTCAAAGTAACAGTGAAAGTTCACATTTTGTTCTTGTGCTTATCATTTAAAAATAATGAAATGTACAGTGGTACATCACGGAATATATAATCTTTAATATATGACAGTATTTGGAGGTTTTAATAAAAAAAACTGGGTTAGTTGAAACGCATTTGTACAGAACAATGAGATCCTTCTCTATTACCCGATTGAGACATAAAAATAATTACACAAAGTCGAAAATGAAAAAAAAAAATCAGCTTAGTTTTAGAAACGTTTCTTGGAATAACCGGACCTCTATCGGTCCGCCTCGTAGTTATTTTAATCGGAAAAAGAAAAATAATGTACGATAGAAGTTCGCTCGCTTTTTATTGATAAAAATAATAAAATTACAGCGAGTATTTTTTTTAATGGATGTTTTTGGAGTACGGTATTTGTGATGATGGTCGGTTTAAGTTCTGCGAAACGCTCTTTTGTTAGGAATCGGTTAAGGGAGACTGTCGTTTTTGGTATACATATATTTCCTTAGAAATCCTTTCTGTTTCTCATCGAGGTGCTGTATTGATTCCCATATATCGATGTAAGTGTAGTCTCTGTTTTCCTTTGTACTAAAGTCAAATTGCACAAAAATGACTTCAAAATATACAAAATTCGTGTAATAGTAGGATTTTTTTTTGTATAAATGTATATTTTCATTCTGCTTATTCAAAACAAACTGAAATGGCCAATAACAAGATTAAAATACAGTTTTATTTTTAATAATCGTAATTGGAGATTGACAGCTCATACAAATTTTCAATATTTATTTGACATTCGACATTGACAATACGTCAATAAACAAACATCTAATCTTAAAAAATTAATATAGTTGATAACTGTTAAATTTGCTGACGTTTTGAAGCAGTGAATGACAGCCTGTGACATAATAGGTTTGTGCCAACAATAATCCATACGTAACCGTTAAAGTCATGTGTATTCCAACAAACTTCAAAGCAAATACCCAATTGTAAGTCAAATATTTTATTTTGGATTTCTGAACAACATACTGTTTCGCGGGCTTACAAGCAAAAGGCAATAAGTCAAAAAATAGATTTTATGAGTTATAAGCAATTTAAAGTTTCGATAAATTTCTAATTTGTTTATAAATTAGTTAGGGATTATCAACTGCTTCAAAGAAAATGCACATGCTTTTGGAATACAGTGCCCTGTTTTTACATGATAAAGAAAAATATAAACTCTTTTTGACAAATTTTTGACTTAGTGCCTTTTGCTTGTAAGCCCGCAGTTTATTATTTCGTAGATCATTTTGTATAAAATGAAAAGGATTTTTCTTCAGACTATTCTTTCAAATCTGATGAATTGTCTAGTAGAAATATTATGATGTGAAATAAGTTTTTGTAAAATATTTTTAAGTAGAAATGATATAGAGGGTATATGTAACATATATTTGCCGAAAGTAATGTTCACATTGACAGAAATGCTTTGCTTGCCCAATAAGTAGGTCGGAGATTAATTTCGACTCGACTATGGATTTATTTGTTGGAACAAACCTAATGTTATTTAGTTATCCGAGGAATCTGAAAATAGTCACTGATATGTAGAAACCGTTTTTAATGTTTCATTAAAATTTCGGCTTTCGATCATTGTTAAAAAAACTTGAATTTGGCCATTTCCCATTGTTCGTTCACTGGTCCATCCTCTTTTTTCATCTCGATTTTCCTTTGTAAATGTACATTTTCAGTGGCAGTGAACTGTTTACAACAATCTTAAGTATATTTTAGAGTTATATGTTCAAAAAAATATAATAATTTAACGATTTCGTTGTCCCTTAGACCTTAAAAAGTTGCATACGTCGATTGGTATACGTGGTATTGCTTTTTTAAAAGTTTTTTGACGACGATTTTTTTCGAAAAATCTAATATAGTGTGTATCGATTGGGGTATGCACGGTAGTAGCGTAGAAATAGGTTATTACTTTACTTTAGTGCCTCTTTACATTAGATAGCATAATTTTTACATTTGCCTTACGATGTATTTGACGAAAATAAAATAACGAGATTCTCGAATTTCTGATAACTATTGAAATCGGGTTTCTATTTTGGATATGGCTAAATGTACAAATTAACACAACCAAAAAATATAAAGAAAAAGAAAAAAACCACGATAAAAAAATGTTACTGATTTTGAGCTAGGGTACTTGCTTCACATTGAGAAAATTTTATAAAATATACACGTAAAAAGTAACAGTTTGTTCATATCTAGATATTAGGTACATGTTTGTAGTGTGAGACTTCTCTTATTTGTAATTATCAATAATAACAAGGAAAAAATAAAAAAGCAAGTACACTGAAAATGTTTGCTTTATTTTGAATTGTCCCTACCTACAACCCGAAAATATTAATAAAATAATTTGCCTCGTCTTAGTAGTGGAGTGGCAGCAGCCCTAACGATCGTGCACGATCATTGATGTGTCCCACTTGCTTTAATGGAAGATTTTAACTTGCTGAACTGAGTCATTTGAAAGACGATGCTTATATTAGGTAAATATTCACGAGAATCGGTTTACAAACCTGAGTTGTGTCAGATATATGAAAAAAGTACCAGAAAAAGTAAACATAAACCTGTGTCTAGTTTGCTACCGCTTTTTCTATAAATTTAGTTAAAATAGTTGAAAAATTGTGGGTGTATACTAGAACAAAATATTGGAGAAGGTGAGTCATATGCATGATCAACACTGTTGTCTATGAATGAAAATTCCGAACGAGTCAGCATAGTGGCGTATCAAATACCAAATAATTATTTATTAGGTATTTGTTAGTAAACTTTATTAAATTTGTTTGTCAACATCTTTATTTAAACAAAGATGATGCGTTAAATATACGTTTTTGATAGTTTTCAAGAAATTAATATATTTATTCCCTAATGACTTCGTTATCTGTGTTTAAGTTTTAAAGTGTGTTTCAAGTAAATAAACGACAGACGGGTTACAGATTGAATATTGTCAGCACAGGCACAAAGACAGTTGAAAACTAACTTTCGACGAAGTTAGATTTGTATCGCTTTAACTATTTACGATAACTATTTTATAAACACTTTTTTGTATAAGTGCTCTTTTCTGATATACGAGTAGGTTTTCATGTTTGTGCCTTACAATTTGGTAGTGGTATTGCATATTCGAGGAGTTATATTTATTGTGTAGTATATTAGGTAGGTACTTTAAAAGTTTATTAAATAGTAAAATATTGGTGTCTTTATAAATTTAATAAAAACAATTTAATAGTAGAATTATATTGTTACAATAGTAATGGATTCAGAGGCGGGTCCAAGTGAAACCCAATTACGTCGGCGAACGCCCTGATCAAAGGACAAAAAGAACATTATATGGAAAGTGTATGATGGGCTGAAACAGACACTTCCTACAAATGAAGCTGTAAACGGCAGTTCTTTTTTAACTGGAGTATCTGTTTCAACAATTGAACGTATTGTACGCGAAAAGACAAAAAAGGCTCCTTAGAAGCCCCTAAAACGCATACCCGTGGTCGAAAATTGTTGAAATTGGACAATAACCAAAAACAAATCATTCGAAGAACTGTACATTCTTTTTTTTTTTTTTTTTTTTTTTTTTCGAAAACAATGCCATAACACTTAAAGTTGTTCTTACGAAATTAAGAGAAAATGAAGAAATTCCATTAATGAGCCGTGAAACTTTACGAAAAATTTTATGGGGCCTAAAATTTCGTTTTGTTAAACGGTGTAGGAAATCAATTTTAATTGAGAGGTCAGATATAGTGTCCTGGCGACGGCGTTATTAACGAAATATTAAAGAGTTTGGAGCCGCTAAAAAAAAGATATACTATCTCGATGAAACGTGGGTGAATGCTGGACACACGGTATCTAAGATATGGCAAGATATTTCTGTAACTAGTCATCGCCAAGCTTTTATAGAGGGATTATCTACAGGTTTGAAAGCACCGTCAGGTAAAGGACAGCGCCTAATTGTTACCCATATCGGAAGTGACAGTGGATTTTTGTAAAATAGCGCTCTTGTGTTTATATCGAAAAAAACAGGAGACTACCACGAGGACATGAATGCGGAATGCTTTGAAAAATGGTTTACAGAAGTATTACAGCGTGTAGAACGAAATTCAGTTATTGTACTAGATAACGCTTCTTATCACAGTCGACGAGTTGAACGCGTTCTACGCCACTGGCATAATATTTACATATTTTAACAATAAACAAAACAAAATTATAAACATAAATGATTATTACTACAAAAATAGATAACCAACCTATTTTCATATAATATTATTTACTATTACCGCATTTAATTTGCCAATAGTGTTTATACGCCACTGGCGTAATACATTTTAGCAATAAACATGCATTTATGACTAGTTGGCACGTGATATAATAACTTCTGCAGTTTTAAGCGCGCGATTCCATTCATTATGCTCTGGTATAGCATGATAATTGTACGTGAACAGGGAGGAATCACCTTCTTCAATATTTTGTCCGAGTATAGTATCAAAATATTCAGAAAAACATTCTTAATAAGAACATTTATTTATTACAATATCCAAAAGGGTTGCCCCCATAGAAAAATAATTGCCCCTAATTACAGGATAAGAAAAGCAATATTACAAGAATTGGGAATTAACATAAATGATTATTCTTATCTATATACATATACAGAGTGGCCCAAAAGTCTGGAAACGGCCAATTATCTCGTAAATTGCTAGTCCTAATTGTACAAAATTTGGGATGCACCTATTTTGGGATACGGAAATTTCAGATTTGATATTTGCAGTATTGCCAGATTTGCCATTTTTATTATATTATTAGTCACTTTGGTTTTTCAAATTAATCACCAAGTATATTCAGTCATTATTGGAATCTCCTATTCAATACGAGTTTAACCATATGTAACACTTATGATTTTATGTAGTCTGGAAGGTCTTAAGATGGATCGAAAAGTAGCCTTCTTGCGGATTCACTGGTCTAGAAGGCAGCCAACCAAATACTTTTTGGACCTGGCCCTTCTATTGGACTGACAACATCGGTAGTGAATTAAAGAATATTCCCTTGTGAAATTGAAGGAAAGATGAGATAAAACAAGAAACTGCTGAGTTACCAGGGAGCTTTTAAGTATCCTGACAACATTACAATAAACAAATACTTGACTATGACTAGCAAGAATCTACGTCTGATCACAGGCATTCTGACTGGTCATTGCCAAGTACGGAAGCATCTCCATATCATGGGGCTGTCAGAATCCGCACCCTGCAGGGGGGTGAGAACAAAAAGATGATACCATTGAACATATCCTCTACGATTGCCAGTCGCTCCATATTTATTAGAAAATTTGTTTTCGGCGAGTATTGGCTAACACCGGCCGATATAAGAGAAGCACCTCTTGGCTACTTTGTCAACTACATTAAATCTGTGGGCTGGCTCACGAGCTAGGAGGTGCCTATCATTTTAGGAGGATACACAATGGGCCTAGTGAGGCCTAAGTGCCGTGGTGTAACCCACCCTCTACACGATACATATCGAGAAGTACTGTGTACGTAGCTGTAAATGCATTTCGATTGCATCCTGATAGCAGTGACTTGGTTCCTCGAAGTGAGTTAATCATATATATTTTAATTATTGTTTTGTATTATTGTTTATTTACTGTTTTAATTCGAATGGTGTGAAAAACAAAAAAATTACATATTTAAATAAAAGACTAAGAAATTAAACGATGCATAATACGTAGGCGTAAATTATCATTATAGGTAATACTGATTTAGAAATTAAAAAAAAAAATGATAGCCCGATGCAAAAACGTTCAATAAAATTTACGAATAAAGGCTATATGCCACGATACTAAATTAAGTACTAAATTAATACATTTTGTAAGTACTAAAAAAATTTACGTTGCAAATTTAGTACTAAAAAAAGTCATTAATTAATTAATTAGAACTTGTTCTATTTTCTACTAAATTTAGTACTAAAAGTGCGTCGAAATGTTGCGCAGAAGTTTTTCACAGAAAAAAATGACACGACGGTATTTTCTGTACCATTTTGTTTTTAATTAGCGAAAATTTTGCATTATCGACTTGAATAAAGTTCGCTTGTTTGATTTTGTAGATTTAATTGTTTTTTTCGTGGTTTATAGTAGCATTGCTGTATTTGGTTGTTGTCATGTCAAATTAATAATAAAAACACTTGTCTATTTTATCCAGAATATTTCATTTCTCTGCTTATTTCACGTATAAATACGTCAATGCGCGTGCGCCTAGTTAATTTAGTACTAAAAATTGGTATCGTTGCAAACGGAAAAAAATATTTTTAGTTCTAAATTTAGTACTAAATTAATGACTTAATTTAGTGCTAAGTTTAGTACTTAATTTAGTATCGTGACATACAGCCTTTAGGCAATGTATTTATTTTCTTGTAATAAACATTTTAAACCTTTCTAATTACTACTTAGTTAAATACAACTACTTAACTATACTGCAATTTTCACAAAACGCTAATAATAATATACCAAACGTTGCTCTACATAAATTGACAGCTATATTTGTAGTTATAGACATTGCGTTCGGTTTGCCACGTTCCTTTAACACTTTTAACTCCAAACGACTCTTTTAGCGTTCGGTTTAGTCCGATTAGTGACAGTTTAACACGCTTAAATGTCATTTAAAAGCACCCTAAAATTTGTCCCGCTCCAGCCCCTGACTGACCGAACTCGCCTAATGAAAGTAAAAGTTGAAAAGTCTTTTGGTAGGTAGAGAGGGGGTAAACGTCAAACCACGTCGGGTGGCTCCGAGAATTTCACAGTAATGTTTACCTGCCAGTGTCGTTTCATAGAATAAGTAATTTTAAATTGTTATCGGCGGAACCGGACAATCGCATGTATTTATGGATTATAAATAATTATTAAACATGTATTATTCACAATTTATTAAACTATTTACTCGAAATTGTTATTAACATCTATAAAATAATTTTGTGCGCCAATGTATCGCGTCCACTTCGGTGAGATCCGCTGGCAACCTGTCAATTTATGTGTATAAAGTGGGAGAACTGGCAAAAGCATTTCCAACTTTTACTTCTGTTCTAAACCACCTCTAAAACACTGAGAAAACTTGGCAGTTTTTTGTAAACGAATCGCCCATTTAGTTTCGCTTCTTGGGTAGGTATTATTTGGCGCAATTGAAATACGAAGACACGTGCAAAGTGTAGGTAATTAAAACGAGATACTCTTTGTCAGAGGACTTGGGGTACTTGTATTATTTTACTACCCAACCAGAGACACCCAACTCTGTTACTAGAATAAACTATAGTCTAGTATCAAAACCTAATGGCATACTAGTTTTTGTACAACCCTTGTAAGTTATTTTTGTTGCGTTACCATGGGAATAGAAATTGGCGCTGTAAACAAACCGAAACCATGAGTGACGTGTTGGCAAAATCTGGTATTTTCTTTGATGAGGTGGATAGAATTTGCATTCTAGAGCCCGAAGTATCTAAATCTACACACGATTTGAAAGAGGAATGTCAAATCTATACAGAAAGTAAGGATACAATTCTACACGCCCTAACTCCAATATTTTACACATTAAAATATTACTATTGCAGAAATTGATGAATTCCAAAAGATCTCCAACAAATACATTAATCTTGTTCAACAGTTGGGAGACACAATCGAAAAGGAAAAAATGAAAGCTATAGGTGCAAGGAATATATTACAAAGCATGGAGAAACAAAAAGAAAATAACCACGAACAACTACAGGTTAGAAAAAAAATAATGTAATTTATTAAACGCTTATTTACGTTGTTTACTTTTTCAGGCTGTGATCTCTGAAAAGTCTATGGAATTAGAGCGGTTAAAAATTCAGTTAAATTCACTTCAAAAAACTGAAATGGAACAAAATGAAATAATTAATCAACTTACACGTTGTTAAAAAATATGCGTCAATAAACGTTTAAATTGTAATAATAATAAAGAAATAATTTAAAACATCGAAATTTTTTTTGTACCCTCATTTTTGAACTGAATGACTTAAATGTTCGAGACTCATTCCTCTTATTTATTCAATTGTTCGCCTGTGCTTCTGTTACTAAACAGTCACCGATTTCTTCTATTTTATGCCCTTTACATTGTAAAATATTTGGCTTACTTTTTTGGCCTGTGCTGCCGTGGCTATCCAATTCAAAAGTTTCTTCTCTTTTACGACTTTTACCTAGTGGGTTATTTGGAATAGATTTTGTAAACCAACCTTTAGAAATTTTGGGGACTTTAATTTTTATAACAACTTCGGCCAATCTCGCCGATTAGTCGTAAACGTCACATAAATGACATTTTCATTCCTATTTGTATTGGAAAATTTTTAAGTCACTAAAAACCAATAAAAACACATCATTTGTACCAAAATACAAGAGAAACGATTCGAAGCATTCATGGAAAATCTCCAGAACATAACGTAACCGTAAAAAATAAATTACGAAATTTCATAAAAGATGTACGCCGTTTTAAGATCCCCACATTTTAAAGGAGCACGTTTTAGGTTCTCAGATTGTAAGTTTAATTTTTTTTTATTGTTTTTAGGTTAGAATATTCATGACTCGCCATTATATAATTTTTCAAAACACTCTTTGATAAAGTGTCATCATAGGATATTTTGTAATAATTGTAGGTTGCCGAAAACATCATCTAAACAAAGAACACTGCATTTGTTACGTTAATTTCCTTAATGCAAATCTAATTGAAACAAAGCGAACGTTCACTATAAGTTCCCATTTTAGTCCGATTTATAATAATTCAAGATTAATTTCGAATAAGCACAATTGGAATTACGATATATTTCGTCAGATTTCATCAACGCCTATCAATTTTGAGAAGGAACCCTTAAAACCATCGTCAAAAGTCGAAGAAACTGTTCAAGAACTAAAGAAAAAAGAGGAGGAGAAAAAAACACAACCAAAAGAACTTGCCAAGGCTGTCGTTAAGAAGCCTTTAAGACAACGTGTATGGGATGAAATAGTACATTATTACCATGGTTTTAGGCTGTTATTTATAGATGTTAAAATTTCTTCAGGGCTAGTATGGAGGATATTAAATGGAAAAACTCTTTCAAGAAGAGAGTACAGTCTTCTAAAGAGAACTGTGGGAGATTTGTTCCGTTTGGTGCCTTTTTCAGTTTTCATAATAGTCCCTTTCATGGAATTCTTGCTGCCCTTTTTTATAAAGTTTTTCCCCGGAATGTTGCCATCTACATTCCAGACAGCTACTGAGAAGGAAGATAAGATGAAGCAAAGATTGAAGGTTCAGCTAGAGATGGCGAAATTTTTACAGGGTACCTTAGATGATATGGCTGTGCAGCATAAGGATAGGAGCTCAGAGCAGGCTAAAGAATTTGTCAATTGGTTTAATAAAGTGCGAACTTCAGGTAAGTGTTTCAAAGTTAATACCAATATTTGTATTTAAGTTGAATTTAAATTGCTAATACTCCCTTTATAATACTAGCTACATAAACTAAGATTTTTAAACAAGTCGCAGAGTATTAAACTCTTGAAAGCATGCCACTGGCAATAAAAATTATCGCAAGTAATCATTTTTGAATTTTCAAACTGTAACACCCTGTATTTTGGAAATGAGTAACATTTTACCTAAGCATGTTTTGTTAATTCTTAATGGGACACTATCTATAGGATAAAATAATAGTAAACAAAAAAGTATATGGGAATGTCTACTTCAAACCTGATAAAATAAGGACCTCAAGAACTACTATGGAAAACCACTTTTTGAAAGAAAATAATGAATTACTATTTTGCAGTTCCCAACAGTTAAATATTACTTTAATGCATATCAATATACAGGGAGGTTTTGCCAATAAATGCTTTGATCTAAATTTAATTTTACAGAATTCTATGTGTTACTGAACATTGGCTTGATTCTAACAATGGCTACAGTCATTAGGTCCAGTAATTTTGTCACTTTTTCCATAAAGATTAAGTAAAACCATAATATTTTTACACTTTTTAATCTTCTATAAGTGTGCACTAACCTAATTAAGGTAACAAATATTATTAAAACACATTTGTAAGCTAAAAAATTAAGAAAATGCATTTATTCACTACAATCTCATGTAGCCATATTGTTTTTAATTATTTCAATTTGACAGTTACAGTAAGAGCACCTGTGCGTGATTTTAGCGATGTTGCCAATTGCTTTTTGTTATTTGTTATAAATAAATATATTTATGGTAATACCGTTCTATATTATTTTTTATGAATAATATGACAACTGATATTTTTATTTCTATAAATGTGGAGTTATCAAACATAGTAAAAGAATGTACATAACAGGAATGACAGTGGTTGTTTTTTCAGTAGCTTCAAGCCAAATGATAAAACCAGAATATAAATGTGTTTATATGAGACTATTCAATTTGAGCTGTGTCCAGGCCGTTGGAGTCTATGCCGGTCGGCGTAGCCAGGTATGGGTTGATGTTTTTTGGTGGCGGCGAAGCCGCCACTCTACGACTTATTGTAGGGTGGCGGGAAGCCGCCACCCTACGATAAGTCGTTGCTTCGTTTTCTTGTTGCATATTTATGGATCGGTATGCGCAATCACAATTTTCCATTAACTACTAATTTCATCACTATCGTTGCAACTAGGAAGAAGTGGTTTGCATCAATAAATTCCTCTTTAAAAGGTCTACAAAATGGTTTTTAAGAACTTAACGTTGAGTTGACCGTAAGGCCAGAAAACAGGATTTTCAGATCAAATTTGGGGATATTTTAACAGAAATAAGTGTTTTTGTTAAAAAACTTGACTATCGTTTAAACTAGGAAGAAGTGGTTTGCATACTTGAATTTCTTTTTAAAAGCTCTACAAAGTGGGTTTTACTAATTCATGCTAGGTTGTCTGTAGAGCAAGATAGTAGGATTGTCAGAATGAATTTTAAGAGAAAAAGGTTTTTGCTAAATAACTTGACTATCGTTTAAACTAGGAAAAAGTGGTTTGCATCATTAAATTCCTCTTTAAAAGCTCTACAAACTAGTTTTTACTAATTCGTGCTAGGTTGTCTATAGAGCAAGATAGTAGGATTGTCAGATTGAATTTCTGGGGGAAAATGGTCTTGCTAAATAACTTGACTATAGTTGCAACTAGAAAGAAGCGGTTTGCATCAATAAATTCCTCTTTAAAAGCTCTACAAACTAGTTTTTACTAATTCGTGCTAGGTTGTCTGTAGAGCAAGATAGTAGGATTGTCAGATTGAATTTCTGGGGAAAAATGTTCTTGCTAAATAACTTGACTATCGTTGCAACTAGAAAGAAGCGGTTTGCATCAATAAATTCCTCTTTAAAAGCTCTACAAAATGGTTTTTAAACAGTTAACGTTGATTTGACCGTAAGGCCAGAAAACAGAATTTTCAGATCAAATTTGGGGATATTTTAACAGAAATAAGTGTTTTTGTTAAATAACTTGACTATCGTTTAAACTAGGAAGAAGTGGTTTGCATAGTTGAATTTCTATTTAAAAGCTCTACAAAGTGGTTCTAATTCATGATAGGTTGTATATAGAGCAAGATAGTAGGATTGTCAGATTGAATTTCTGGGTAAAAATGTTTTTGCTAAATAACTTGACTATCGTTGCAACTAGGAAGAAGTGATTTGCATCAATAAATTCCTTTAAAAGGTCTACATTTGGATATCCATATTAGATCCACGGAATATTTCTGATATCCTGTGGATATATTGGATATCCACAAAAGATATTCTGTGGATATCTCTGGGATTTGGTGTGTTGTCTGGGTAGTAATGACAAGAAATTAAGAATTCGTGAGTTATGGCCTCAAGAGTGGCTAAAAGTAAAATTTCATATTTTACTTATGGCCACCACAGTTATTGTGTGGATTGTGGATTAATTGGTTTTTGAGCTAAGAAAATAAAATGTCACTGGCATCTGACAGTAGTGGCAGTTTCTCAGATATAGAACCAGCAGTGATTATGCAGTTAGGCAAAACATTAAAATTGGGCAACTTTATATTGGTACAAATTAGTGCCTGTGGCAAAAGAAGATCGACCGTATATAAATATGTTGTACGCCAAACTATGGAGAATGAAATAGAAATCTAGTGATTAAAAATTACAAAGAAAAAACTATGTTTGGATATATATTGAAAATATCAATCATACTGAAAAAATAATTCAGAAATGTTGGGACCGTGAAGTTATATTTGAATGGAAGGATATTTTACCTGTAATTATTGATTTTAATAATGATAGCGATAGTGATTCTTATTCTGAATAAAGCTTTACCTGTTGTTTATTTTTATACTTTTTGTTTATATTGGAAGAACTATTACCGAAAACTTGCATATATGTATAGGTTTAATGAATTAATTATTTAAAAAAATTGTCAAAAGATGGAGTTCAAATTTTAAACACTATTTTTTTATAAAATGTTTCTCGAGATCCTCGAATTTTGTAGCAATGTGGCAACATCTACTTTCATAAGTTATTGACATGCATTGGAAATTTCATTGCATTTGCTATACTCATATATTCGTTTATTACCCATATGGTATGAGATTAGATTTCATCTAAATATTTAAAAAAAAATGCTTAAGTGGATCATAATTATCAAATCACAAATCAAAACAAGTACCTACTTAACCTGTTTTTGCATTATTAAACTATTTAATGGTTACAATCCAACAATTTGTTATAATTATTATAATAAGTTAATTATTATGTTCCTATAAATGATGCATTTCTAGTTAGACAAGATTACCTGCCTCATCAAACTAGAAAATTATAAAGAAATATAAGGAAAAACACTATAGAAGGTTACATAAGTACTCATTAAAAAAAAAAAAAAAAAAAAAACAGTAAAAAAAAGAATGAACTATTATTTCTATAAACGTCAAGGAATTTGTGTATGGTCAGCATTATTAATATCACAGAACTAATATTGTATTAGGGACAATTATACAGGAAACCAAATGTTTATCCTAAGAAAATGTGAAAAGTTTCTATTCAGATATCAGTCCAAAAAAAACTGAAATCTACTAGAAAAAAATAGATTCATGGCAAACGATGCATACATGAAGCAACTACGAGTCAACATATTTGTTCAATTGCATCTAAAAATGTATCAAATATAGAAATTGTGATTTTTTTAGTACTTAAATCTATTATATTTTATCAAATTTAGAATTATACCACTGTCCATTTTTTTTTTTTTTTTTTAGTTTCATAGTGACTTTTTCATAAGTTTTATTTTACATTTGTGTGGAACTTGTGTGGCAGGTTGTGTTCCCGAAAATATCACCAATTTTGCTATTTGACGTCAGGATCACTGACTTATATAGCTCACTTGAACCTTCTCGAACCGTCCAGATGTTTCTAGACTTCCATCATTCTTTTACTCGTACTTTTACTTATGATGACTGCAACACACTGTAGGGGATGGGAGACATTTCACTTCTTTTATTAGTTTCCTATAACAGCCGCGCGCTACTGCAGAGTACTGGGTAACAATAACAATAATCGTTGTAGGTCATGTCTATCTGAAATTAATTAACTAAATTACAATTTATATAACATATCAGTTACCACAGGAGCTAATAATACTTAAAAAAAATAACGAAAAATCTCTTGAGGCATTGTTTTTAATCTGGTAATGAATATGTAGCACATTTTCAGTGTATAATGCATCTCACTCTCAATATTTTTAAAACAACCACAAACGTATAAACTATATAGAAAATACTGAGACACGTTGCATTTATTACAGCTTCAAAGAAAATGAAAAATACGCACGTTGGGCGCCAAAATTTGTAACACATTCGTTCGAATCATTTGCATGTATATCTTCTTTACAGGCGAACACGTATCAACCGAAGAAATAATGCGATTCGCGAAACTATTCCAAGACGAAATAACGCTAGATTCTCTATCTAGAAGCCAATTGATCGCCCTTTGCAGGGTACTGGAGGTGCAAACGTTGGGCACCAACAATTTCCTACGTTTCCAACTCAGAATGAAGCTACGTTCGTTGGCGGCCGACGACAAAATGATTCAGAAAGAGGGAGTCAACACGCTGACCCTGTCAGAGGTGCAGCAAGCGTGCAGAGCGAGAGGCATGCGGGCATACGGTTTGAGCCAGGACCGCTTGAGGGCGCAGCTGGACCAATGGTTAGATTTAAGTTTAAACAAGAAGGTGCCCCCTTCGCTGTTGTTGCTGTCCAGAGCTTTAATGTTACCAGAAACCATTCCCACTAGTGATAAACTCAAAGCTACTATATCCGCACTGCCAGAAACGATTGTCAAACAAACGCAAGCCGCCATTGGTGAAAAAGAAGGTAATTATGTTTATATAGCGATATTTATGAGTACGTTTCACTTGTGTTTTCAATAATTTGTTTTCCCTGTTCGATTTCTGGCTAAAATGTAAGTTGTGAGGTGATTGGAGTAAATGTGAATTGACAGAATAGCTGCAGTCTCTCATAGAGATAATATAATTTATTTTTTCCTGTTCGATTTGTAGCTAAAATATTACTTGAGACGTCACTGGAGTAAATATGAAGTTAGCTGCAAATAAAATACAGTTTTGATCTCAGAGTAAGTAAGTAGTAAAGAGAGGACAGTAAACAATGTTTGTGTCGCCATGATTATATGGTCGAGAATTCTAATTAGAGAAAAATAGATTAATATCTCTATCTCTTTGTTTGTATTTGTCAGTTTGACAAAGCTTTTCTCAGACAATTATTCCAGTGTTTAATTTAAATTTGTTCGTGTTGTGCTGTTAAAAGTAATTGTTATTAATATTATATTCATAACAAAAAAGTCATATTTTGTTTTCACTTCATTAAAAATGCACCTACCTACCTTTTAAAACATTTTTTCTACACCCGTATTATAATAATGCACTTATATGCCCATAATCCGTTTCATAATGATACCCATTATGATACAGATTTTTCATTACGATACAGATTTTTAATCAATAGAAACCTACAATTTTTCAATCAAGCATGCTGTTTGACGTTTGTCCTAGGTTCCTATGTAATTATTTTAGTTGTCAAAACGTATTAAATTTTCGTAGGTAGCTAATTTTCGATAATTATAATATTAAAATGTCTGATATTAGCGATATAGAAGACTCCTCCACACATATCGGAGAAAGCAGAAAATACAGTACAAAATATTTTACCGCAAAAATCTAGGGAAATACCAATACCTGAAGTAATACCATTAATTACAATTTTGTAGAATTTTTTATAGAAATACGAGTAATTACTGTTATTGTGTTCAATACCAATATAAATATAATATTTATAGGTCTTGATTATTTATCGGGTGTAGAAAAAATAGCGTATGCAACTCTCATGTAATGGTTATTAAAACACTCGCATAAACCATACGAAACTCGCCTTTGGCTCGTTTCGTATCCCGGTTAATGCTCGTGTATTAATAACCATCATTACATGATCGTTGCATAATATACTATTATTTTATATTATACTTGGTCAACATTTTCGCATTTAAAATGACCCAGCGAAATTGTTTTACGGTACGCTACTGCTGAGAATTCTAAAACGAGTGAGAAAGCCTTCATTAGAAAGAGAGATACTGATTATATGATAGCGAAATTAATATTGTATAACTTTATGCAGTGATGGCCTATCTGCTATTATATTATCTAAGGTTTTGATTGAATGAATATTGTTTGAAAGTGAGGTTGAAGGTTGTAATTTACTTGCAATTTTAAAAAACCGGTTAATCTTTGTAATCATTTATTTCCTTTTTTTTTTGTTCATAATTTGATAAATATTAAATCCCCTATGAACTATAATTTCATAAATATGTTGTAGTACATTAATTAAAGTGTAATCAAAATTAATTTTAAATTTACTATCAGACAATGTAAACAATAACATTTATGAGTATTATGTTTCCATCATTTATACATCAATCATGCACGTCTTGTGCTTGTGTTTATGTTTACTTTTATGAATTAAAAATCAGGTCAGGCTTCGAAAAATATAATATACTGTATGCCCACGTTGGAAGTCAATTTTTTGTGATCACTTAACATAATGCCCGCGTTGGGCGCCAAAATTATTTAGGCCTATTTGCGCAACGTACATTTATCTATTCTTTTGATCTAATGCCGAGTTGAATTTGACCGATTTGCATTTCTCGCAGGTAAAATCGACAACAAAGTCAGGGTCGAGATCCTCAGAGAAGAAGAAAAGAAAATCAGAGAGGAGCGCGAAGAACACCGCGCCGAAAAGACGAAGCAAGACAAAGAAATCCTCGAGGACAAAGCTCCCGTATTATCGGCCTCCGCAACGGCCACCCTGGAAGACACGGCTCCGCGGATAACCGCCACAAAAGCGGCTGCGGCCGCCAAAGCCAAAGTCAAGGACGAAAATCTCCAATCCAAGGACTTCGAGATGATCGAGGACGCCATCGATACTGTATCGAAAGACAAGAAGTTCATCGTCGAAAAAGGCGAAATCAAAGAACTCAAATCCGAAATGGAGGACTACAAAGAAGACGTGGATGAGCTATCCAAAGCGGTCGCTTCGCAACCCAAGCCCGAGATCAAGGAGACCAAGGCGGCCAAGCGCCTGTTCAAGAGCGTCAACAAGATCATCAACAAATTGGATAAGGTGCTAGTCGATTTGGAGGCGAAGGAGAAGCTGCTGAAGCAGGAGCTGGAGAAGGAGTCGACCGATAAGAAGAAGAAGGACGAGTTGTTGAAAATCGACGATATCGTCGCCGTGATACATAAGATTAAGGGAGTGACGGACGAGAGTAAGATCGAGCAAATCAAATGCGTTTTGAAGAAAATCGACGACGATAAGGATGGTGCTATTAAGGTTGAGGATGTTTTGAGGGTGAGAATTTTTTTTTATAATAATCTGGATATATTTTAAAATATTTCTGGATATTCAATTGTGCAAATAACTCAATAGAACTCTATAAAGTCTTTGAAAAAGCATCAAAAATTCTTTAAAATCGACAAATATATTACATTTTCTTTGAAATTCGGATTCAAGTGTGTCTGATCTCTTTCAAATATAATAAATCTGGATATCTTCTAAAATATATCTGGATATCTTTTAAAACACAAATTATTTCATTTAAAAAATAGGGTTAACAACTCTGAAAAGAGGGTGGGTGGCTCACTGGTAGAGTCTCTGCCTGTGGATCCAAGGGTCCCAGGTTCGAATCCCACCGTTGGCCGGGATTTTTTTATTTAATTTAATTATTTAAAATTAATTCTGATGCCTTGGTAGGATTCCCCACTCGGCCATTCACTGTTGGGTTCTAATTAACAGTGCTGTTTCTAAAGTGGCGCTGGGAAACAGTAACAAAGCCTACACAGAACACGAGGCTAATGGCCTTAGTAGTCGACGCCGATGACACGAAAAACAAAAAATCTAAAATTCTGAATTTATAATTTTAATAAGTCGTTATTAATCAAAACTCTATAGAATCTTTAAAAATCATCGAATGTTCTTTAAAATTAACAAACATATTAAATTTTCCCGGAATTTGTGGTTAAAAGATGTCTATTCTCATTTAAATATAATAAATCTGGATATTTTCTAAAAATATCTGGACATTGTTTAAAATACTCAATGAAACTGTTTAATTTAAAAAATAATTAAAAATCTTTAAAATTCTCCACTTATAATTTTGAAAAGTTATTATTAATCAAAATTAAATCGTTATAAATTTTAAAATGAATTGGGCTATTCAGTTTCACAAATTATTCAAGAAAACTGTAAAATCTTTAAAAAGCATCAAAAAATTTTTAAAATCGACAAATATATTAAATTTACTTTGAATTTCAGATTAAAGAGTGTCTGATCTCTTTCAAATATAATAAATCTGGATATTTTATAAAACATCTGGACATCTTTTAAAATACTATGAAAATTGTTTCATTTAAAAAATATTGTAGAAAACTTTTTAAATTCTAAATTTATAATTTTAGTAAGTCATTATTAATCAAAATTGCGTCTGGATTTATTGTGGGTATTCATTTTTACAAATTAAGAAAACTGTATAAAATTTTTATAAAATATTTATAAAATCATCGAAAGTTCTTTAAAATGAACAAATATATTAAATTTTTCCGGAATTTGTGGTTAAAATATGTCTGATCTCATTCAAATATAATAAATCTGGATATTTTCTAAAACATATCTCAATGTTATTTAAAATGCCCAAGAAAACTGTTTAATTTAAAAATCTTTAAAATTCTCCACTTATACTTTTGGATAGTTAATATTAATCAAAATTGGATCGTTATATATTTTTAAATTAATTTGGCCATTCAGTTTCATAAATTATTCAAATAAACTATATAAAATCTTTAAAAAGCATCGGAAAGTCTTTAAAATCAACAAATATATTAAATTTTATTTCAATTTTTGTTTAAAAGGTGTTTGATCTCCTTCAAATATAATAAATCTGGATGTTTTTGAAAACATCTGGCCATCATTTAAAGTGCCCAACAAAGCTGTTTAATTTAAGAAATGCTGTTCAAAACTCTTTAAAATTCTCCACTTATATTAAATTTCCTTCGATTTTGGGTTAAAATGTGTCTGATCTCCTTCACATGTAATAAATCTGGATATATTCTAAAACATGTCTGGAAATCTTTTAAAATACTATAAAAATGTTTCATTTAAAAAATAACGTGAAAACTCTTTAAAATTCCTGAATTTATTTTAGTAAGTCATTATTAATTAAAATTGCTTCTGAATATATTAGTCCAGTAAATGAAGGACTGAAAAGATCGAAAACTGTAAAAAAATCGCTGATGAGTTCCCACGTAGCTCAATTTGTAGGTAATCGCAGGTGTTTTTAAATGAGAAAATCCTTAACGCGTTCTTGGTACCGAAAGGGGCTAAATATGGACCCCTAAACTCTGAAAAACGGGTTTCCCGCTAATATCTGGCTAAATATGCCAATTAGAGAATTTTTCTTCAGACAAAAAGATGAAGATCAGCTCATTCTCTACAAAAATGACCCCTACCAATTTTTACGCAATGCCAATATTTTTTGCAAAATCAGACTTCGAAAAATCCATAATTTTGGACTTTAGAGACCAAATTGCAGATGCACCTTTGCAGATGCACCTTTGCTCTTCTCGCTAAATTACGGAGTCCGTAAATGAAAATCTCGGAAATAATCGATTATTCGACAATTACTGGCGCATTTCACCTGATTTTTTTCTGCAAAGTAGCGCTTGGGCTCTTTCAATTGTATTAGCGAATGTTATGTGCAATTTGAGTTGCAAAGGACAATGGGCAGAAATGTATGGGAAATTGCCCCACCTCCAATAAGGATAAGTTATATATCAATTGAAAGTTCTTTTTAAGGAGAATATTTCTCTTCGTTACAACTCATCTCAATTACTTGTCCGTTCCAAGTTATACCATCCTAAATGTAATTAATTGCACGATAGGCCAGTGCTTATATTTTGTTATTGTAGTGCATATTACAGAAAAATAATAGTAATTATTACTTCTTAGTAATATATAAACAATTATAATATCCTGGTATATCATAAAATGCTGTCGAGGATTTTATCCGCCATGTGTATCCCTTACTAAATGGCATCTACGTGATAGTTACACAGCCCTGCATATGCTCTCTAAAGGACCGGGACCAATGGTTTAAGACCAAGGCAATGGACTAACATAATAACACAATCATAAATATCATAACCCCCATTTACACTAGAACGAATATAAAGCCATTTGTAACACATACAGGGTGAGGCATTCTATACGCGTTTGTCTAGACTATGACATATGATTTTTTCAAATTACTTTTATACAGAAAGATGAATATACAGTGTGGAAACCACTTATGGAATAAAATTCTTTATGTCATTATTTTAGAAAATTATAAAAAATGCCGAGACATGTCAACTTTTGAATTGAGTTGTGGGTTATGTAAACATAAATTTAAATGTACAGGGTGATTCACGCAAGTATGCCATAGTCGGTGTTGTTTTTTTTAATGAAACACCCTGTATATTTGCATACATACATTATTCAGTTTGTTGGAATCGGTTCATTAAGAGGATTTCAAAAATATGCAAATATACAGGGTGTTTCATTAAAAAAAAACAACACCGACTATGGCATACTTGCGTGAATCACCCTGTACATTTAAATTTATGTTTACATAACGCACAACTCAATTCAAAAGTTGACGTGTCTCGGCATTTTTTACAATTTTCTAAAATAATTTTATTCCATAAGTGGTTTCCACACTGTATATTGAAACTCTAATTAAAAAATATTTTGGAATTTACAGTGTGCTTCAAAAAGTTTCTATTTAAAACGTATTAACATTGAAAAATTTTAAATATTACAAACGTTTTAATTACTTAGTTCAATATAATATCAGTACAGAATGAAAGTAATAGGTAGAAGGCAATTCTCATGCTAGCTAGTAGATGGCTTGTATGAAAAATGCCTTTCAGCTAGACTAAAGTTAGATTATATCATCTATAATTTGGCAAATATACATTTTTTTCAATTCGAGATTTGAGTTTGTTTTTGTTTAATTGTCACAATGACAAGTGTCTATATGGCAACAGTTTCTCTGTAACTGATTTCAGCTAAACTATAATTAAATTAAAGCATCTGTAACTTGGCAACTACTCATTTTCTCACCACGGTATTTGAGTTTTTGTTTACTTGTTACCATGATAAGTATCATTATGGCAACACTTAGTCTTTAACTGATTTCAGTGGAATTAAATCATCTATAACTTTACAACTACGCGTTTCCTCACCACGTGATTTAGGTTTTTGTTTAGTCGTTACCATAACAAACGTCCCTATGGCAACAGTTTCTCCATAACTGATTACAGCTAAATTAAAGTTTAATTAAATCATATAACTTGGTAACTACGTATTTGGGTGTTTGTTTAGTCGTTACCATGTCAAGCCTGGGGGGGACAGAATTTATGTCAGCACCTACTAATAAAATAACTTTTAGAGTTGACAAAGGGGGTTTTTAACAAAAAAATACTGTTTTGTCACATGCACTATCATACAGTGTTTCTACTTAAGTTGGAACTATATGCGAAACTTTTATTACTGGTTTTGGATAAAAATTCTTACGTGATAAAAAGTTCTACATGGTCCAAAACTTAAAATGCAACCATCAGATATAAATTTTTTTTAGGCATATACGAGGTTTATCAAAAAACATTAATTTTACTCAAGATTAAAGTACCTTTATTTTTTACAATATAGGAGAATTATAACCATTTAGCATTAAAATTCAGGTTTGCTGATTATTTATTTGTGACTACAAATAATTTTTAATGTAGGTAAAACGTAAATTATCAACTAACCTGAATTTTTATGCTAAATGACTGTAATTGTAATTACTTTATAACATTCTTCTGTATTTTAAAAAATAAGGTATTTTACTCTTGAGTAAAATTCATATTTTTTGACAAACCTTGTATACGGCTTAAAAAAATTGATATCTGATGATTGCATTTTAAGTTCTGGAGCATCCATAACTTCTTATCAACAATATTTTTTTCAGAAAACCAATATTGAAAAAGTTTTCCATAATATGGTTTAAGTAGTCACACTGTATAACTCGGAACGGACAGAGAATTGAGACAAGTCATAATAAAAACAAATGTTCTCCTTACCGATATCTTTCATTTGGCATATATCTTCATTCATATTGGGGAGTGGGGCAAAACTGCCCATTCTCACCAGAAAATTGCAAAAATGTATTTTTCCTTATGCCAAGGTCTTGAATCCCGTTGTTTTGGCTAAAAGCAAATGACAACTTTTAGAGCGTGGTGAATATTCACCATACAACCATTCTAAATATTTTTCGCATTTTTTCAATTTTTTTGCAAACTTTTTTCGGAATAATATGGGTGCAGGATTTGGAAAAAAATACGCAAGTCTTTGATGGAAGAATTGGTTGGATATAAAACATACATAACAACCTTTAGGGTGTGGTCAACCACTCCAAGTCATCAGAATCATATACATCATCGTCAACGGTATTCTCGTCGCCTACTCTATTTCAACAATATCAAGAGCTACCAAAAAATAGATGATCCAACCGTTAGAACAATTACACCAAGTTTTTAAAGTTGAGGCAAAACAAAACAAACCTTATTTTCTGCTTCCAATAAAAAAAATCCTTTAATATTCTTTCTTATAGACAAGAATAACGTGGAAATTCCTCACTTTAAACACTTCTCCTTTTTTTTTATAATTGAATTAATTTAATGAAAAATAATTATTTTATTTTAAATAAATAATTCAAAATAAATAATGAAAAAATATTATCAGTACATCAATAATCCGGTCAAGCCGACGACTCCAAAACAGAGATTGTATACAAACACATGCAGACAACTATCGCAGCGTGGGTACACGAGGTTAGGTTATATACAATATCATGGATCTCAGAGGGGGAGCGTAAAAATTAAGTATATAATTGTAACAACCTTTTTAGAACCAAGAACGGATATGGGGATTGACTTATATCAATGGAAAGGTCAGAATACAAGCTTTACTTTATTCTAGTTATTAATCCTCAAAAAATAAAGAGTGGGAAACAAGAAATGGTTAAACAAAAAAAAGGCCGGTTTTCACTCGTGTGATCAATTTTCTTCATTTCTTGAAAATTATTAAAATCTATTAAAAATAAAAAAATATATTCGAAAAGTAGACCATTTAAGCTTTAAAATGATGTGCTTTGGAAATCAATATAACGAATCATAAGATTATAATTCGCGCTTGTTCCGAAGATTCCATGGAACTCCGAAATCGGCTAAAACATGTAAATAAACAAATCAATTTTGTATTAAAACGCAAGAAAAGTATTACAAAAAAACTTCTGAGATCATTCAAGACCCTCTAAGGTCCCATTGTAAAGGCAAAATTAGAATAATTGAGTATTTTTAAAGAAAATATGAATAAATTAATGAAGCAGTCTCTAAATATTGTTGAAAAAACTTTGACCGCTTTTTTAAATATTTTTGGCAAATACGAACTGACTTCAAGTCACATGGAATTGTAGCTACGGGTTTTCCCATTGCGATGAACTTTGAATCATCGAAATATATCAATTTTTTCCCGAGATATGGAACAATTCGTCCGCCCGCTTACAGTTTAATTCATAGAAAGCGGAATTCCTGCAGGTAGAGCAGCAGTTGAAATGAGGAGACTTTTGAGTGCCATTATCTCCAAAACTATTGAATTTTCGAAGAAAATGATAAGGGCCATTTTTGTAGATAATGAACTGATCTTCATTTTTTGTCAGAACAAAAATTCTCTAATTGGCACATTCAGTCAGATATTAGCGGGAAACCCATTTTCCAGGTTTTAGGGGTCCATTTTCAGCCCCTTCCGGTACCAAGAACGCGTTAAGGAGTTTCTTGTTTAAAAACACCTGCGATGACCTACAAATTGCGCTATTTGGGAACTCATTAACGAATTTTCTACAGGTTTGACCCTTCAGTTACTGGACTATATTCTGGGTATTCATTTTTACCAATTATTTAAGAAAACTACAAAATCTATAAAAATCGTTGAAACTTCTTTAAATTCAACAAATATAATAAATTTCACAGAATTTCGAGATAAAATGTCTGCTCTCATTCAAATATAATATCTGGACGTTATTTAAAATGGCCAAGAAAACTTTTTAATTTGGAACGTTAATATTAATCGAAATTGGATCGTTATATATTTTAAAATTAATTTAGATAGGTATTCATTTTCACAAATTATTCGAAACCCTATATAAAATCTTTAAAAAGCATCGAATATTCTTTAAAATCAACAAGTATATTAAATTTCCTTTTAATTTTTGGTTAAAATGTGTCTGATCTTCAAATATAATAAATCTTGATGTTTTTGAAAACTTTTGGAAATAATTTAAAGTTGTTCTAGAAAACTGTTTAATTTAGGAAAAGCTGTTCAAAACTCTTCCTTCAAACATAATGAACCTGGATATTTTCTAAAACCTCTATACATAATTTAAAATAATGTCGTTAATCAAAATCGAGTCTAGATGTGTTTTAAAATGCATTTGCATGTTCAATTTAACAAATTAGCCAAGAAAACTATATTAAATCTTTAAAAAAGTATTTGAAATTTCTTCAAAATTAAAAAATATTCATATGTTGATATTCGGGTGTCTGATCCCCTTAAATTATAATATTGCTGAATATTTTCTCAAATATATTTTGACAATATTTAAAGTGCTCAAAAACAAAAAAGTAAATATTGTGTTAAAAATTCACTAATATTCTGTAAATTTCTGGAAATATTTTAAAATCTATGAATATTCCTGGAAAACTGTCAAACACTATTTTATAAACCCTTGGAATACTTTTATTGGACTTATTAACAGCTCTTTACGTTCCTGTAATGCTTTCGTTACTATTAATAGCTCTATATAGGTTTCCTGGAATATACAGCATTTTAAGATTTTCCATGATTATATTATAATGACATCCAACAATGTATTATATTCAAGTATACATTTTAAGAACTATACAATATTCCCAGAAAAAATCCTGAACAACAAAAGTTCCTGGAAACCTTATAAAAGTTTCTGGAAACCCTATAAAAGTCACTGGAAACCTTGTAAAAGTTACTGGCAACCTTTGTATACTACATTTACATTATATTGTTTTAATTCCATCTAGGTAATCGAAATCATCGGCAAAGAGAACGTCAACCTCAGTCCGAAACAAATCGACGAGCTGATAGACCTTATCGACAAGGAGGAGATCCTCGAGGTTGAGGACAAAATCGAGAAGGCCCTCCAGAAGGACAAAGAAGCCAAGAAACAGGCCGCTGCTGCCACCGAAGCTTCGGGATCCGGTAAGTCTCCAGACAGCACCAAAAGCAACGATGACACGAAAACTAATCCACCCAAGTCGAAAGCTGACAACAGCAACCCCAAGGCTATGCCACCCGCGCCGCCTCTACCCAGTATTGAAAAATCTAAAGACAGTTCCAAGACACTTTAATAAATGGTTTTAGTTTTTAAAATCAAGTTGGGCAGGTTTTAAGGTAGATTTTTGTACGAGTGTGGACTGTTTGGACAAAAAGCATTTTTCTGTTAAAAATTCCACTCTAATAAAATCTGTATTCCTGGAAAGGTTCTAAATCACATATAAACTTCCTGGAAATCTTCTACTAAAAGAGATAAAGACCCTATAACTAATCATGAAAGTCTCTTTTAAAATAGATATATAAAAATCTTCAAATTATTTGGTTTTTCCAAAATTGAAATCTAATATTGTGGAAATGTTTATTCCATTTTAAAAAATAAGCTTTCTAAAACTTCAAAATTCCCTTTTTTCTGGATATTTTTCTAAAATTTGTAAAAATCGTATTTTTTATTGACAGTTTTTAATTTTCCATCTGCCTGTTATGTTTTTAGAAATCTGAAATAATCCTGGATATTTTCTAAACTATGAAAAAACTTAATATCTTTCCAATGTTCCATTATATACTCTTTAATTTTCTAATGATTAAAATTTGGTAAAAATTCGTTTTGGATATCCAAATATACTCGTTTAATGTTTACATATTTTCCTAGAAAATTTCTAATATTGGCGAAATCTTTATATAAATCTGGAACTCCTATGAAAATTGTAAAAAATAACGTTTTGAAATGTTATTTATAAACTGGATATTTTCTGAAAGAATCTGGAAGTCTTTTTTAAAGAAGATTTACCGAAATCTGGAAGCCTAAATGGAAAAACTGTAAAATTGGGAAATTTATAAAATCTGGATATTTTCTAAAATCTGTAAATCTTATGAAAATTGCAAAAAATAACTTTTTGAAATGTTACTAGATACTTTCAATTTAAAAGTTCTAAAATGTATTAACTGGATATTTTCTAAAAAAATCTGGAATTCTTTTTTTAAAGAAAATTTGCCGAAATCAGTTGGAAAAATCGTTAAATTTATAAAACCTGGTTATTTTTTAAAATCTTGATATCATATAGAAATTGCAAAAAGAACGTTTTGAAATGTTACTAGATACTTTCAATTTAAAAATTTCTAAATTTATAAGCTGGATATTTTCTAAAAAAATCTGGAACTCTTTTTTTAAAGAAAGTTTGGCGAAATCTGGAAGTCTAAATGGAAAAATCGTAAAATTTATAAAACCTGAATAGTTTCTAAAATCTGGATATCTTATAGAAATTGCAAAAAGAACGTTTTGAAAAGTTTTTAGCTACTTTCAATATAAAAATTTTGAAATTTATGAACTGAATTTTTTTTCTAAAAACGTGGAAGTCTAAAGAAATATGATAAAATCTGGAAATTTAATGGAAAAGTTTAGAAATTAATAAAACCTGGATATTTGCTAATATCTGGAAATCTGAAATTACATACATATTTTATATGTATAAAATAGATACATACCGTTTGTCCTACATGTCCACACTTCCTCAACAACCTGCCTCGCTACCTTAGTTAATTTTGTTATATAATAACTAATATTTCAAATTAAATTATTTTTTATGTACAGGTTGTAAACTTCCCAAAACGGAAAAATAATGATCCCTTATACAAAATAGTTTTTTTTCTTCTTTATTTTGTATTCGTGATGCACGTCACAGGTATTAATATTGTGATTCACTTTACTTTATAGTTGGGTGTAGTAGAATATGGGTGTGATAATTTAATAATATAAGTGACAAAATTTTGGGGGTTTATTTATTTAAAATATTTCTTTATAATAAAATAAACATTGAGTGGTTCGAGAAGAAATAAATTTAAATTTTCTGTCGTTTATCTTCTAATATTTTGTCGTGAAAATTAACTTGAAACGATTGCTAAAAAGCGTAAAAAAATATTTTCTGGAAATATTTTAAAACCTGGAAATCTTCTAATACAGGTCTAAGAAATCTGGAAATTTTCAAAAAATCAGGAAACCAGTGAATAATTCTATAAGTCTTTTAAATGTTAACAGAAAATCTTAAGTGTAGCTTATAATCCGGCAATTTTTTATAAACCCCAAAAATGCAGTCTTGTAAAAAATCTGGATACCCGTGAATAATTGTATGAGTCTTTCTGGAATTTCTTTAAATATTTGTTGAAGATATGGTATTTTGTTCGAATAACATTCTTGAATATTCTTCAAATCCCAGAACATTAAAATTTTTCTGGAGTTTTAATTACTGCTGAAAAATATATTAAATAGTTGTGTATTTCACTCATAAGATTTTGGAACCTGCTTAGTCCTCCAAAATATGGAAATTAAGAACCTGGAAATTTTCTAAAAAATGGAGATTGGACATGGAAATTTTATAAAAATTTTGATGTATACCTGTATTTATGTCTTACATCAAGTTACCAACGCTAATATATTGACAATAATGTCGTAACTGGAAATTCTACTTTTTTTCAACAGAAAACAATCAATTTTCGTAAATCTGGTGGAATATGAAATAACAGTAAACAAAATTTAGACTATTTGTCAGTTGTTAATTTCTTTTACCAATTAAATATAAAATTGTTGATCTCCCCTTGTACATAATCCCTAGTAAGCAAAAATTACAGATAGAATAGTTCATTTACACGTTTGACATTTGAACTACTTAATTTAAACGAAATTGGCGATTTAAACTATTTTTATAACTAACGAAATTGGGGCGATTTGAACTACTTTTTTAACTTATCGAAATTTATTTATAAGGGTTTTTGGTGCAAAAAACTAAGAATAGCTAAAACAAGTAGTCGGTGCTTTTAATTATCGTTTAATACTTAATGTTGTATATATATTTTTAAATAAATTGGTACAAAGTGAATTTTTGTTTTATGAATGAAATAGAACACCTTTGCAGTTTTTTTTTTTTTTTTCATTAAATTGATGTAAAAGTACCAAATTTTAATAATAGTTTGTTTTTGACCATGAAAAGATATATAAGTTGAAGATTGTTATTATTTTTCATAAATAAATGTATAAAATACAAGAATTGTTTATTGTTTTACCCGAAATTTTTTGTATTAAAGGTATAGCCATTTTAGATACAAACTTGTAAAAGTCGAGAAATATTCCTGCAAATCGTCCGAGATATTTCTGGAAAGTTTTTTAAAATGTGAAATAACCCAGGGTCACAAATTTTTCCGAGTCGTGGCGCCTTTTTACAATTAATATTTTGTCTATATAGTCTACCCTAAGTAATAGTATGACTAGTAGGTAAAATATAAAAATAAAACACTAGTATCTTCATAATTTATTTTACTTTATTAACATTAAATTAATAATTGAAAAATAGTGTGAAAGGTTTTCTCAACTAGTTAGAAATACTCTCACATATGGCGTTCGAAATGGGTATTCGCGGGCGGCGATTTTACGTTTCCGTGTTCAGTTCAAACCGACGCGGTCTTGAAATAAACACGGGAAAGTAATGCAATATTTATAGGCAGACCCGAGTTGATATCGAGGCGCCAGACGGATTTGTTTGGAAACAAGCCGTATTTGCTCACATCCAAATCCGTGTTGATCTTAAGGACGAAATCGAAAAATCCCCGTCCAACCTACAGCAATCTCTCGTAGAAAAAACTTTAGAACTTACCTTCCTACATAATGAAAATTATTTTGATTTGTGAAAATAATAATTATTTAAATATAGGTATGTTAGCAACAAATAAATAAATACTTAGTACCTCCTATTCTTTGTTCTGTGTCTAGGTAGAAAACACCCAAAAATTGCTTAAAACATTTTGAAAGCAATACAAAATTTTTCATTTTTGACTTTCTGTAATTTGAACATGAATCGCCACATTTTGAGTTAGAGGCGGCTGTAACGTTCATTGATTTCAATAGGTATTGTCAAGAATGCTCCATAATAAAACAAAAAATAATCTGCACAAAAAGTATCGCATAATCTAATAATGTTAGGTACCTACTACTAATTTTCTACTACGAAAGATGTATTAAATTAAAAAAAACATGTTTTCTATACCTATACGTATAGACTATACCTACTTCTTACAAATTTTTTCGTCATTATTTTATGTTGATACTAGCTGTTGCCCGCGACTTTGCTAGCATGTAGTCGTGTTATTAATATGAAAAAATACATGACTTCCTTTTTTCATTAATTTTTATTAGTTTTATTTATTTTTATTCATTTGTATTCCTTTTTATTCATTTTTAATTAATTTTTATTCATTTTTAATCATTTTTATTCATTTTTATTCATTTTAATCATTTTGAACCATTTTAAATCATTTTTATTCATTTTTATTAATTTTTAATAATTTTTATTAATTTTTAATTATTTTTAATCATTTTTATAATTTTTAATCATTTTTAATTATTTTAATCATTTTGAACCATTTTTAATCATTTTTAATCATTTTTAATCATTTTAAATAATTTTTAATCATTTTTATTAGTTTTTATTATTTTTTATTAATTATTATTTAATTTTTATTAATTATTATTAATTTTTAATAATTTTTATTCATTTTTATCAATTATTATTAGTTTTTATTAATTTTAATTAATTTTTAATAATTTTTATTAATTTATTTTTTATGATATATACAAAAAACTAAAAACCATAGAGCTAAAATTATAATTTTCAAATTCCAACGTACAAAAAATTTATACTTCTATACAAATTTTCACTCCCGTTTTTCCCACTTAGAATGTGAAAATTCAAAAACCCTGAAACACATCACTTTTGATTTTTAGTCAGTAGCTGTAATTCAAATTTTTATGTTTCAAACTTTAAATAACAAAAAAATATACATACTATTAAACAAATTTTCACTCCCATTTTCCCCCTTAAAATGTTGGAATGCAAAAATCCTGAAACACTTCATTATTTATTTATTATGAGAACCTACAATTTCAATTTTCAAATTCCTATCTTAAAAAAAAATCAATATTTCCAAATAAACTTTCACTCCCCCGTTTCCCCCCTTAAAATGTGAAAATCCAAAAACCCCAAAATACGTCATTATTAATTTGTACTCATTAGCTGCAATTCCAATTTTCATGTTTCTAACTTCAATTAGAACAAAAAAAAATATGTAGTCCCATACAAACTTTCAAGGTGTAAAAAAATATAAAAACCCTAAAACACATTATTAGTAATTTGTACTCAGTAGCTGCAATTCCAATTTTTATGTTTTTAACTTTAAAGAGAACCAA